AAGATACAATCAAGATGTTCTCTCCTGATACTATCAATTCTAGGTATAGAGGGGGACAAAAACACTGGTGAGGTATACACAGCATGGAAAGTCAACCATTTGATATCAAAAGGGCAGCATTTACACAAGGTCAAGGTTCAAAAGGGTTGAGAAAGGAGACATGGAAGTGAGAGCTACAGGAGGAGGACACAGTGGGGATGGCAGGTCACTGAGAACGAGATGTAGCGTCATGAGGAACAACTGAAGATCTGCTCTGTAAACTTGCATTCAATTCACAATCAAAAGTTTAAAAATAAAAACATACTAAAAAAAGGGGCCCAGTCAAGGAAGACACAGCCCTGTGTCCCCACCAGCCTTCTCCCCAGTACAGTTTCCCCTTTTACATGTATCAGAGTCCATCTTTGATATTAAGTCCATCTGCTTTTCTACTCTCATTTATGTCCTGTGTCTGAATATAAGGATCCCTCAAATGTAAAGATGAGGGTTTTAAGTTTTTAGAGCTAATATGACTATATAAACCTTTAGAGATAGTAAGCAGTAAAACAGTGAAGTCTCTAACATTTAAAAAAAAAAAAAAAAAGTGGGAAAATGGATTTAAAAGATAATGGATTATTTCCACAAACTTTTTGAAGCATGCCCTTGTATTTTTAATGGAGAAATTTAACTTCAGGCAATTTGGTCGTCAATTCATTTCCTAAAAGAATTATTAAGATGAAGACTGACATTCCCACCATCCAACTTCCACAAAGCCTGACTGTGCATACAGTAACAGTCCATGAAAAAGTGTTCAGAAAGATACGCACTTTAAATGGATGTTTTCATCAAAGTCCATCCAGCCTAGAGCTCAGGGAGGGTTAAAAGGCAGAAGCATTGCCCGGAGGTGATTTTGTCATAACCGTTAATTAATTATGTAGGTATTTATTTATTTCATGTCTTTCCTCTCCAGGGAACCTGTGCCCCACAGTTCAGTTTTCTTGACATTTTCCCAAAAGTCACATGCAGACCTCCAAAAGAGGTGATAGACATGGGGCTGAACCCTGAATCAAGCCACAGAGACCCAGGAATGGATCAGAGAGAGTTCAGCAGTGAAACATTCCAAAGACCATACCAATATTTAAAACGATTCCATCAAAAACAAAACCTGGACACGTTTCAGTACCAAAAAGGCTTTATTGAAGACTCACCGGAGGAATGTCTCCAGCATTTCTTGATTTACTGTGGGGTGATGGACCCATCATGGTCAGAGCTTCGAAACTTTGCTCGGTTCCTGAATTATCAGCTCAAAGACTGTGAGGCCTCTGTCTTCTGTAACCCTGAGTTTACTAAAGATGCACTGAGGGGCTTCAAGAACTTTGTGGTTACGTTCATGATTTTTATGGCGAGAGATTTTGCCACACCAACCCTGAACACACTGGACCAAAGCCCAGGGAAGTGTATAGTTAACATGGACGGTGTCAGAGAAGAAGACCTGGCTCCTTTCACTCTGCGGAAGAGGTGGGAGTCAGAGCCCCATCCATATGTTTTCTTCAACGGTGACCACATATCCATGACATTCATTGGCTTCCATCTGCAGGAAAACCGAAACCAAAGCATTGATGCCATCAATCACTTGAATAAGCAGGTAATCAAGAAAAACGTCATGACGCTGGAACTGTACCAGGACTTGAAGAATCAGAGGGTGCGTTTCAATGTTGACTTTGATCAATTGCCCAGACATGAGAAGCTTGAAAAGCTCTGCCTGGCATTAGGAATCCAGTGGGCCATTGATCCTGATGAAACCTATGAGCTCACGATAGACAATATGCTGAAGATCCTGGCCATCGAGATGCGGTTCCGATGTGGGATCCCCGTTGTCATCATGGGAGAAACTGGCTGTGGGAAAACCAGGCTCATCAAATTCCTTAGTGACCTGTGGCGTGGGGGTATTGATGCTGAAACTATGAAGTTGGTCAAAGTCCATGGGGGAACGACAGCAGACATGATCTACGCCAAAGTCAGGGAGGCAGAAAAGATCGCTATGTACAACAGGAGACATCATCAGCTTGACACCATCTTGTTCTTTGACGAAGCCAACACAACAGAGGCCATCAGCTGTATCAAAGAAGTTCTGTGTGATCGCACGGTGAATGGCGAGCCCTTGGCTGAGAACTCTGGTTTGCACATCATCGCAGCCTGCAACCCCTACCGGAAACATTCCCAGGAGATGATCTGCCGTTTGGAGTCAGCTGGGTTAGGGTACAGAGTTAGTGCGGAGGAGACAGAAGAGAAGCTTGGCTCTATTCCTCTGAGGCAGTTAGTTTACCGAGTCCACGCTCTCCCACCAAGCATGATTCCTCTAGTATGGGACTTTGGACAACTGAATGATGTCACTGAAAAGCTCTATGTTCAACAAATTGTCCAGAGACTAGTTGAATCCATGGAGATAAAGCAAAACGAGATATGTGTGATCACAGAAGTGCTTTCTGCCTCTCAGGGTTTCATGAGGGAAACAGACAACGAGTGTAGCTTTGTCAGCCTTAGGGATGTGGAACGCTGTGTGAAAGTTCTCAGATGGTTTTATGACCACAGTGAAATGCTCTTGTTAGAGCTGGAATCCTCCCGTACATCAGGTGTCCAACAATCGCTGAGAAACCCCGTCCTCTGGTCTCTGGTGCAGGCAGTTGGAGTATGTTACCACGCCTCTTTAGAAAAGAAAGAATTGTATCGCCAAGCCATTTGTAGGTTTCTTCCGGAACCATACAATGACAGCAAAGTTATACTGGAGGAAATAATTGAAACTCAGGATCTTTTTCTAAAAGGCGTATCACTGAGGAAAACCATTGCCAGGAACTTGGCTTTGAAGGAGAATGTCTTCATGATGGTGATCTGCATTGAGCTGAAGATTCCTCTCTTCCTGGTGGGAAAGCCTGGCAGCTCCAAATCCCTTGCCAAGACCATTGTGGCTGATGCTATGCAAGGCCAGTCAGCTTCCTCCAGTCTCTTCCGGAAGTTGAAGCAGGTCCACCTGGTGTCATTCCAGTGCAGCCCACACTCGACCCCCCAGGGGATCATAGGCACCTTCAAGCAGTGTGCCCGCTTCCAGCAGGGCAAGGACTTGCAGCAGTATGTGTCCGTGGTTGTATTAGATGAGGTTGGGCTTGCTGAAGATTCCCCCAAGATGCCCCTGAAGACTCTGCACCCCCTGTTGGAAGACGGCTGTATTGAAGATGATCCTGCCCCCCATAAGAAGGTTGGCTTCATAGGCATTTCCAACTGGGCCCTGGACCCTGCCAAGATGAACCGGGGCATTTTTGTGTCACGTGGCAGGCCCAATGAGAAAGAGCTCATAGAGAGTGCCAAGGGAATTTGCCACTCAGACACTCTAATTCGAGACAGAGTCCACGGGTACTTTGTCTCCTTTGCCAGAGCCTATGAAACAGTGTGTAAGACGCAAGACAAGGAATTCTTCGGGCTTCGTGACTACTATAGCCTCATCAAAATGGTCTTTGCTATGGCCAAAGCTTCCAATAAAGAGCCTTCCCCTCAAGACATTGCACACGCCGTCCTTAGGAACTTCAGTGGCAGAGACGACATCCACGCTTTGGACATTTTTATGGGCAATTTACCTGAGGCAGAACGTGCTAAAGATGTCAGCACCATTCAGCTGATCCAGCAGAATATTTATGGTGATCATTTAAAGGGGTCTAGTAGCGAATCAGAAGATACTGAGTGTCGCTATTTACTTGTGCTGACCAAAAATTATGTGGCCCTGCAGATCCTCCAGCAGACATTCTTCAAGGATAACCAGCAGCCAGAGATTATTTTTGGTTCCAGCTTTCCAAAGGATCAGGAGTACACGCAGGTCTGCAAAAATATCAACCGTGTGAAGATCTGCATGGAAACTGGCAAGATGGTGGTCCTCCTCAATCTGCAGAACCTGTACGAGAGCCTTTACGATGCGCTCAACCAGTACTACGTCTATCTGGGTGGCCAGAAGTATGTGGATTTGGGCCTGGGGACCCATCGTGTCAAGTGCCGGGTTCACCCAGACTTCCGCTTGATCGTCATTGAAGAGAAAGATGTTGTATACAGACATTTTCCCATTCCACTCATCAATCGGCTGGAGAAACACTATCTGGACATCAACACTGTGTTGGAGAATTGGCAGAAGCGCATTGTGGAGCAACTCCAGGCCTGGGTAGAATGTTTCATCCGTGTGAAAGCAGATCATTTCCACGCCAAACACAAATACAGCCCCTCTGATGTCTTCATTGGGTATCACTCTGACACATGCGCCTCTGTGGTACTTCAGGTCATAGAGAGGCAAAACCATAGGGACTTGTCGAGTGAAGTCTACCAGACGGTACTGGAGGAAGCCAAACTGATCCTGCTGGGCTGTGCCACTCCTGATGCTGTGGTTCGGCTGAGCACGTCCTCGCTAGGGGGGTTCATGGCCCAGTCACTATCACAAGAATACTATCACAAGCAGCAGCACAATTCCTTTGCCGATTTCCTTCAGACTCAGCTTCACATGATAAATCTGGAACGTCCTGTCATCATCTTCACAGAGGTGATTATCTTCGTACATTTTTTATTTTTCTCCTATTTCACCTAAGCTTTCATGGATCCCTAGTATCCAGGATTCAAGAATGTTTTTGAATTCAGTGTATGGTAATTATACTTGGTTACGTGGAGACTTTTGGCTCCTGTAAATGTTGAATATGATGAGAGCCAAGCTAATATATATTTAAGTGGTTTTGAGCCAGTTTAGATCCAGTACTCTGTGCAGACTGCTACGTACATCATTTACTTCAGCGAGGCACTGAGCTGAGGCTATTGGGGCTATTAAAACCCACTTGCACTTTTCTGTCTTTGGCCAGTTGGCAGTATAAGGTGGACAAACAAACATAGCAACAGGTAGTCAGTGTCCTGTGAGAAATGCTATGCAGACAGGCAAGGAGGATCAAGAGGTCAGATGAGCCTTTCTTTGGAGAGATGTCTTGGAGCAGAGCAGAGCAGTATGGCTAGGAGAACATGTGGTTGCTCAAGGGCCTCAGGTAGCAAAAGTGTTGAGAGAAACAATGTATTGTGTACAGGACACAGAGGGGCATCACTGAAGAGTGTCAGAACTCAAGGCTATGAGTGCTGGCAGATGAAGCTGAACCATCATGGGAGATAGTGCTATGAGGGGCCGTCTCAGGTGCACCAGGAACTTAGAGGGGCGTCGTTGAGGTGTGTGCCTTTTCATTGTGTCCCACTGCCTGGGAGATGGCTACATCAAGTCTGAATAATGACTGATAGACACATCTGGAGACAGGAGACTGCTGTATCAGTCCAGGCAAAATGGCAGAGGAGGGGTGGGATTGAGAAATTGTTAGAACTTAATAACCAATTCTATCCAGGGGCTGGGTGACCGAAGAGTCTAGAGGTGACTTATTAGATTCTTCCTTAGGTGACTAGTGCTGTGGTTAAACAAGACAAGAAATCCAGGAATGCTTAACCAGTTTGGGGGTGGTTGTGGTGGCTGTGTGCCGTGGAGTCGGTTCCGACTCATAGCGACCCTGTACAGGGTTTCCGAGGCTGTAAATCTTTATGGGAGCAGAACACCTCATCTTTCTCCCGCAGAACAGCTGGTAGTTTCGAACTGCTTACCTTGCGGTTCACAGCCCGATTCGTAACCTATACGCTACCGGAGTTCTTTGAGGTAATGGTAAATTCCATTTGGGATAGGTTTTGATGCATATAACATCCACATATCCATGTCCACCATGCAGTTTGACAGGAATCTGAGCCCAAATGTAGGATGTGAGCTGGGGATAGACATAAGCCCTTATGTGTGTGTGTTAAGTGCCGTCGAGTCGATTCTGACCCATAGCAACCCTGTATAGGGTTTCCAAGGAGCAGCTGGTGAGCTTGAACTACCAACCTTGCAGTTCAAACAGCTTTGCCATCTGACACATTAGCCCACAGCGCCACACCAGGACTCCGACATCAGCACTTAGGAGTGTCTAAGTGTTGGCCGTGGAGAGGGACTGGCAGCCATGGAAACGCAGGGAACTGCTGGTGGCTAAGCCATTGAAGGTTTGGAGCAAGATTACAAAGAACAAGTGGCATTTGTGCCCAGTCCCAGTGAATCCACAGGATTTTAAGAGGCCCCAAGCAGGCAGTGACACTGGGAGAAGGAAACTTGGACATCATGGCAGAAACAGTCTTACCCTCTGTAAGAGGCCGTTTTGTACTGTGGGTTTGTTTGCCTGAGCTCCATCTGTTTTTGAAAGACTCCTTGGGTTTCGAGTCTTTTCTGTCTTGGCACCAATGACACAATGCTGAGTACATAGAAGAACTTTATCTTGGAAGATGTGCCGCTTTTACATGAATCCTCACAAATAACTTGCATTTCCCAACTTTGCAGATCACCACTTTCTCCCGACTTCTCACCAATCATGACTGTGGGGTGTTGGAATCCGAGGTGAAGGACAAGGCTCCAAGGCCCACCATCCTGTCCTTGCAACAGTATGACACAGAGTACTCCTTCCTCAAAGATGTCCGGTGAGGGTCCCGTGTTCCCCATCATTGCTATATCGCGGGAGTCCCTGGGTGGTACATCTGCTAATGAAAGGTTGGAAGTTCGAGTCTATCCAGAGGCACCTCAAAAGAGACCTGGTGATCTACAGTCATGGAAACCCTATGGAGGCCAGTTCTACTCTGACACACCTGGGGTCTCCATGAATTGGATTCCACTCAGTGGCAATGGTGACTGTGTGGCTGCAGCAGTCCTGGGTACTGTCACCAGCATTGGTTAGTGAGCACTGAGGACATGGCACTGAAAGGACAGGTGGACAGTTCCTCAGTGTCTGTCCCTCTCATGTCCCTGATCCTCTGCAACTCAGTACCGGTCTCAAACACCGTTCCTAAAACCATTGTCCTTGTATCAGGTTGTTGTTAAGTGCTGTTGAGTCAGTTCCGACCCATAGTGACCCTCTATAGGGTTTCCGAGGAGTGGCTGGTGAGCTTGAACCCCCGACCTTGCAGTTCAAACGGCTTTGCAGTCTGCGCATTAACCCGCAGCACCACCCCAGGACTCTGATTGGGAAGTATTTATTAGGGATTTTTTTACTCTGTTAGACTGTCTATTCATCTTCTACAGGAAAATACCAACTGGATAGTGTGTTCTGTATAATCTTCATATTTCCATCACTATTGGGGATATTCCTACCTTTTTTTTTTAAGACAGAGAATTCACTTGGATAATTTTCCTTTCTTTTTCAGAAACTGCCTAACCAATAAAGCCAGATGTAAAATCCTCGTTATTCAAACAGATTTTGAAGATGGGATTCACAGCGCTCAGCTCACTGCCTCTGCTAAGTGTGTTTCTAATTGTTGTTGTTTTTTAACAAACTAAATAGGAAACTTGAAATTCATTCAGGAACTCCTAGAGAAAACATTGTTGTTGTTAACTGCTGTCGAGCTGGGTCTGACTCATAGCGACCCTGTATAGAATTTCTGAGGAGTAGCTGGTGAGTTTGAACTGCCAACCTTAGGGCTCAAATAAACCTGCGGTCCAGTACTTTATCCATATAATAAATATAAAAACAAAGAAACTAAGAAGTGAGAATAAGAAACTTCTCCCTTTTTTATTTCCCCAAACATGGACTAGAGAAACAGCAGGTTGAACTTCTCAAAAATGTAAGGGCAGTTGATAAGCCGAAGGCAGTAAAAGGACAGAAGTGTAAATAAATATTAGGAATACAAGAACACCCTTGATGCATAGGTTTTCAGATACACTTGGTAATTGTCAGTTCTGAATTAAATAACTTGAATTTACTGTAAATTATCGTATTTGTAGGAGAAGGCTGATACTCTTCAAATGAACTCTGTTTCTTATCTCTTAATATTAAAGTAAAAATGCTTTCTGTACTGGAATCCATATTTCATTTCAGGGATGATTAGATCCTAGTAGGAAGCACTGTGGTCCTTGGTGGTGTGAGGGAATTGCATTGTCCACAGATCTCTGGTTCCTGAAATGGGACGGTCAACTAGGCTTCCCTTAGTGTGGGCAGCTCAAGCTCACGGAGGATGGGAAGATAGAGTGTCTAGCTGATACAAGAATGTCACTGTAGAGCCAAGGGACATCAACTGGATGAGAACTTTCACTCACTCTAACAAAAGAAAAGATGAAGATGGGGAAGGGTGCAAAATTTATTTAAAGCAGAACCCAAAACCAAAATCATGTGAGAATGTGATCATTGAACACTGTAGCTAGTGGGATACCCTCCAGCCAGCTCACAACTTTGCTTTGTTTCTTACGTAGGTATGCTGCTATAAATGAAATCAACAAGATCCAGATAAACAAGGGCTGTATCTTGGTCTATTTCATCACAAAACTCTCCCGGATGGGAAGTGGGTCGTCCTATGTGGGATTCCACGGAGGTAGGACCAAAATATTAGTCAAGATAGTGGTTTAAATAAAGTTTATATTATTTCACATTTGATACTAGCTGTGCAAGCCTGAATTAGAATGTTAACTTCAATATATGTTTTGTATGGAATTTGATTTTTTTTACTGCTAATTTACTATAAAAAAACAACACCACCCAAATCTCTAAACCCTCCTCTTTGGATTCAGTGCTAGAAGATATAGAATGTCCTTTGGTTTACTTGTAGCTCAACGCTTGATTATTCTCAGTCAAGATGGGATGCCATTTATCATGTGGATCATTGAGAAAAGTGTCACTATTGACACTTTCTGCGTATATCTGGGGCGGGGGTGGGGTGGGGAGGAAGTGCTATCTGAAAATCTCCCTTTATTGAGTAATAACTAGAAATAATAGTGGGAGCCACACTTGGGAACATCTCCCACCCATTTATTAGTTATGACATAGCAAATATGAGGGGGCTTCAAAAAGTTTGTGGTAAAATGGATTAAAGAAAATGGAATTTTCTCATGAACTTTTTGAAGCCCTTCATATAATAACAGACACAGAAAGAAAAATAAACTTCAGTCAGTTCTTCCAACCAGCTCTCCAGTTAGCACTGTTCGGTGACGCCGGATGTTCAGCTGCTGTCTGTGTCAGTTTGCTCTAGGCGTTAGAGGTAGGATAGAGATCCCTCCCTTAGCAACAGATGATTTAAGCATCAGGACTTAGAGCATGGTCCTGCATGTGAGTGGCAAGAGCAGCTTAGAAGAGACCTGAGGAGACCCTGGGGGCCTTTCTGTCTCACAGGGCTGTGGCAGTCTGTGCACATTGACGACCTCCGCAGATCCACCTTCATGGTTTCCAATGTGACTAAACTACAGAATGTCTCCATCAGCCAACTGTTCAAGCCACAGGGCACATCTGATGGTGAGTTTTTACTTGATGTCTTTGGGGATATAACACAGTAGATGTGGACCAACAGGCAGTACTGTGGGTGCCGCAGTGCACTGTGGGAGCTGGCAGGCAGGACCACCCAGCCTTAATGCCCGCTATCTCAGGACATTTGCTGAACTGATGGGTTTGACCATAGAGTGATCACAGCCCCATCTCCTGCTTCCCAAGGCCAGGCAGAAGGGTCTGGTTCACTGGACTCAGATCTTTGTAGAAAGGAGCTTTGGAATGTGTTTGTAAGTTCTGTTTGTCTTGGCTCCTGTATCAGAGCCCAGAATGAGTGGGTGAACTTGAGGCTTGTCCGTATGACAAATGTCGCCTTGTTTGCGGACCCCTGTGGTTCCCCTTTGGGTAAGCCTGCAGAGGTAACACCTAACTAAGCGCTTACACTCGCAGGAAGTGTTGCTAGTGCTCCCGGTGTCGCTGTCTGACAGTCACCTGATTGTCTCTGCTCTTATTTGCAGTCGAGATGGGACACAGGGCAGAGGCCCACAGCAAGAATGAGGAGATGGAAACAGATAGGAATGGACCAGGGGAAGAGGCAGAGGAGGAAATGGAAACGGAGAGCTCCGAGGCAGTGGAGGGTGACGTCTCTGGGCCAGGAAGCAGTGAGGTAAGCACCAGCTCTCCAGGACTCCCAGGGTCCAGTCTGTTATCTTTACTATTCCCCACCCACTAAAGATATGTGGAGTCCTTAGATGGAGGTTAATTTGCTGGGTCCAAACAGCAGCCTCTGAAGAAAGATCTGATCAGTCTCCTCTGAAAGCTCAGCCAGGGAAGGAAAGCCCTGTGGAGCACAGTTCTGTCCTGATACACAGTCACCATGAGTCAGAGTCGACCCAGTGGCAGCGGGTTCTGGTGGTGGTATTACTACTGTGCCACTGAGTTGGTAACTACTCATCGTGACCGTGCAGGTCGGAGTAGAACTGCTCATCGGGTTTTCTAGGGCGAAATCGTTACAGGAGTATAGTGCTTGGTCTTTTCTTCTGATGAGCAGCTGGTGGATTTGAACTGGTGACCTTTCAGTCAGAAGTTGAGCACTTAACCATTGAGCCACCATGGCTCCTTTTGGAATTGGTGTTAGTACTCGCTGTTTCGGGAGGCCTCCTAGTAGCTTCGCTCTGTTCCTTGATCACGGTTTCTAAATCCCTAACTGAGCAGCATGCTGTAGTTGGTTATCTGGGGCTGTGGGTGGCCCATGGGGTGTCGCTAGCGGTGAGTCAGCAGTGGCATCGGTATATGAAGCCCCACTTGCACTTCCTGCTTGCTGACCTTGAGACCGCCCCCTCACATGATTGTTCCGATGGCTTCAGGTCCTGGACACCACCAGACTCCTGAGCAGCTGTGTGCAGAGTGCTGTGGGCATGCTCAGAGACCAGAACGAGTGTTTTTCACGCAATATGAGGAGAGTCGAGATTCTTCTCAGCCTCCTGAGTGAAGACGATGAATTCAGAGGTAGGACCCTCACCCTCTTCTTTTGTATCTCCACTGTGGGCTCTCATTCCATCAATGTATGAGGTGCCTTTCAGTCCTCCAGGACTCCTGGACACAGCTGACTCAGAGGGTATCCAGGAACATCTCTGGGAGTTCGCTCTAGAATTGGACTTGCCAAAGCAAAGGCTGTCTCCCTGTTAATAGAGGGGTCCTGCCAGCTTTTCTGAGCACACAACCCAGGGCCCCCAGGATCTGTTGATGGAATGTCTCCTGTTTCCTGACAGCCTCGTTCCTGCGTGTCTCCAAAGAGCGCCTCTATTTTCTGTTGAAGAAGCAGGAGGAGAACACATATGATCCAAAGGAATGGGTAGTACGGGAAGCCTCCAATCAGGATGCCCTCCAAGAGACAGGCACATTCAGGTACTATGACGAGACGCAGTAAGTCGTGGCTTAAAGGTGGTGCTGGAGAATTGGACTCTCCTGCCCACCTCTTCTCCCAACCTGGGAAGTGTGGTGACATGCTTCTTTATAAAATGTGCAGGAATTCTAAGGTTTAATTTTTATCCCCTTATCTTTTTAAAAAACATTTTCGTGTGAATTGGATTACTACAGAGTCCATCAGATTTACATTCAGCAATCTGCACACATTTTGTTTCATGTTATCGAATGCAATCCCTGCACTTCATTCCTCTACTTCTTCCCTATGGTGCCCGTTCCATTCCTCCTAACGCTTTCTGCCTTCGGAACTTTGGCCTTGTGCAAATGCTGCACTTTGGATCTCAAATGGTTTGTTCTAAGGGGTGCATACCTCCCTAGAAGTGCAGGTTTCCCTTACAATTTGACTGTTGTTTGGCTGAAAATTGAGCGGTGTGTGTTTGTGTGTATGTGTGTGTGAGTTCAGCTCGAAACCTGAAGGGTAGTTAAAAGCCATCATCTTAGGGTCTTAGGGCTTCCACCTGTTTCTAACCAACAAGTCAGCCCGTTTTTGTTGTTGTTGCTTTGATTTTGATTTTGATTTTGAGCCACATTTTTCTTCCACTCTTAGCAAGGACCTTCTAGATGTGACCCTTTCAGAGCACTTGGTAGTGGTTTTCATGGTTTAGGGCTGTGTCGGCTGAAACATCCAAGTTTGTCATAGTTGCTGTGATGTTGTGGTCTGTGTCAGCAGTATTTTACATATCAGTAGTGTTACCCATAGTAGGGAGGGTTCAATGGAGCTTACAGACTCACACTAGGAAGAAGGACGAGATGGTCCACTTCTGAATGGTCAGCCACTGACCACTTTACAGGTAATAGTGGAACATTGTTAGATAGAGTGATGGGAGATGAGTCCCTCAAGCTGTCTCCTAAAATAGACTGCTTTTTTTTTGTGTGTGTGGCGAATCTTGTTATTCTTTTTTTTTTGTTGTGTTGCGCTTTTCAATGTGAAAAATTTAAAAAAAAAGGTTGTAAATATCCAATCATGGAATGTACCAAGTATGGGGCTAGGAAAATTGAAAATTGTTAAAAATGAAATTGAATACATAAAGATCAATATCCTAGGCATTAGTGTCCTGAAATGGACTGGTATTGACCATTTCGAACTAGACAATCATATGGTTTACTATGCCAGGAATGGCAAATTCATGAGGAACGGCTCGCATTCATCAGCAAAATGAACATTTTAAGATCTACCTTGAAGTACAGTGCTGTCTGTGAACAAGTGATTTCCATATATCTACAAGGAAATCCAGTTAATATTCAAATTTATGCATTAACCACTAAAGCCAGTGACAGAGAAATTGAAGAATTCGCCCACCTCTGCAAGGAGCTCTGGTAGCGTAGTGGTTACAAACTGAATTGTGCACCGCAAGGTCAGCAGTTCGAAACTACCAGCTGTTCTGCAGGAGAAAGATGAGGCTTTCTGCTCCCGCAAAGATTTACAGCCTTAGAAACCCTGTACAGGATGATTATGAGGCGAACCGACTCCACGGTACATAACCACCACCACCACCCACCTCTGCAGTCTGAAACTGATCAAACCTGTAACAAGATACATTGATAAATACTAGTGATTAGAATGTGAAAACTGGAAACAAAGAGGAAGGATCAGTAGTTGGAAAATGTAAATGATGATAGAAATTGCATGGTAGAATTTTGCAAGACCAATTGCTTTAATTGTTAATACATTAAAAAAACACACAAATAGGGACTGTACACATGGATCTCACTAAATGAAATTCACAGGAATAAAATTGGCTACATATTTAGAAAGCCACAATGGAGAAGCTCAATATCATCAGCTAAACCAAGGCCCAGGGCCGAATGTGGATCATATCATCAGTTGCTCCTTACACAACCTGGAGCTGAAGAAAATGAAACCAAGTCCATGAGAGCCATGATGTAACCTTGGGTATATTCCATTTGAATTTAAAGACCAACTCTTGAGTAGATTTGACATATTGTACGCTAATGATCAAAGACCAGATGAATTGTGCGATGACATCACAAACATCAAACATAAAGAAAGCGAAAGGTCATTAAGAAGACAGTAAAAAATTAAAGACCAGAATGGCTGTCTGAAGAGACACAGAACTGTGACTGGAAAAAATGAGAACGTAACAGCTGAACAGAAAACGTCAAAGTGTAGCTGGAGAAGAAACAGTATTATCATGAAATGTGCAAAGACCTGGAGAAAACTAACTGCAAGTTGGAGGTTCAAGCCCACTAGCTGCTCCTTGGAAACCTTATACTGGGTCGGAATCTACTAGATGGCACTTATCAACAACAACTTTGTGGTTGAAGCTTGAGATGTTCAGCTGAAAATGTGTTTCCTTTGTCCTATAATGAAATTTGTTGCTTGTGAAGTAATACTACTACCTCCTGTCTCCAAATTTTCTTCTCTTTCCAGTTCATGTCAAAGCCCCAAAATTGTAAATTGCAGATATTCACTTTCTTTTTTCAGCTCATTGCTTGTAGATGTGAGGCTTAGCTTTTCTTCAATTTCCTTCCCAGTTTTCTAAACAGCTCCCTGAGTCTGTTCAATTGCACATTGGGCTCTATGACGTTGTAACGAAGAGAACACATCCTAAGAATTGCAAACACAGTTCTGATCCACCTGAAGTATATTTTTCAAGAACATTTGAATAACCCTTATGTTCAAATGGAGCACCACAGTAACCATCATTTGAACCTGAAAATCACTTTATTTTGGCTCTGAGTGTGAATCTGCTGATCCAAGTATTTTAGCCCATCCAAACAGACTTTCCATTCACGCAACAGCTGGTAGACGTCTTCCTAAATACCCCATGTCCTTATATCTTTACCATAAAACAAGACACACACACACACATATAAATGGTTTAGCATTATTCCAAAATCAAGACTCTGCCACCTGGAATTCAAGGAGGTGCCAGTGAGTACCCGAGAAGCACCGGCTCCACCGCTTGGTGGCCATGTGTCAAGATGAGAGGCTCAGTATTGATTGGGGGCCTGGTCCCCTAGCTTCTCCCAGGCCCAGACACTGTACTGCCTCCCAGTTCTGCCCCATAGGCTCTGCAGGTGAAGCTGCCGTCCCAGCAGGAAAAACTTGGTGATCTTTGATGTGACTCTACTGTTTATGGCTAAGGGTTTAAACTTTGTAGTTGAGGTCTTTAACATCTTCAAAACATTGTTAACAGAGGACCTGACCCAGAGAAGCAGTGATGCCTGAGATGGAGGTAGAGACGATGATGTGCAGAGATGGAGCAGCGCGGGGCTTTAGACAGAGAGAGGGAGAGGGGCTGTGTGCTGACGACCAAGGGACAGGCTTGTAGGGTATACCCTTTGGTTGGTTGATGATGCATGGAGGGGACTGTAACCAGGGCAATGAAACGATATAAGATAGGATGAATGTAAAGCTAATGTTCTCCCGTGTAAACTATCACATAATTCACAATAAAACATTAAACAAAAGCCATTGTTAACAAAAATGGCCATCAACTCCTTTATACCTACATCACAGTTCACTTATGTGTGTAAAACCCTGTAAAGAAGGTGTCAGTTATTTCTCCTCAAATCATTGTGAGGTTCCTTCCTTCTGGTGACTGTAGGTTTATCTTGCTGCTTCTTTCCTAATTGTTGGAGGTGTTGGGTTAAGGTGTTGCTTTTGGATGTTCTTATTTGATATGCAAATACTTTATTAAAGAACATAAAAGTCATACATATGGACCTCACCAGATGGAATACACAGAAATCAAATTGCCTACATCTTTGGTATGAGACGGTGGAGAAGCTCCATATTATCGGCCCAAACAAGGCCTTGAGCAGATTGTGGGACAGACCATCGATTACTCACATGCAAGTTCAGGCTGAAGCTGAAGAAAATGAAAACAAGTCCACGAGAGTCAAAATATGACCTTGAACGTATGTCACCTGAATTTAGAGATCCTATAAGGAGTGGATTTGATGCATTAGATATTAAAGACTGAAGACCAGAAGAGTTGTGGGATGACATCAAGAACATCATAACAGGAAGAAAACAAAAGGTCATTAAGAAGACAAGAAAGAAAGAAATACTAAAATGAATGTCAGAGGAGACTCTGAAACTTGCTCTCCAGCGTAGAGATGCTAAATCAAATGGAAGAATGAGGAAGTCAAAGGACTGACGAGAAAATTTCAAAAGGCAGCTTGAGACGACAAAGTCAAGTATTACAATGAAATGTGCTGGGGTAAAAAAAAAAAACCAAAAGGGCAAAACATACTCTGCATTTCGCTAAGCTGAAGGAACTGAAGTAAAAGTTTCAAGCCTTGATTTGAAATATTGAAGGATTTTATGGGCAAAATACTGAATAATGTAAAAAAAAACATCAAAGGAAGATGGAAGAAATACACAGAGTCACGGTACCAAAAAGAAGTGGTTGATGTTCAACAATTTCAAGAGATAGCATATAAGTAAAAGCCAGTGGTACTGAAGAAAGAAGTCTAAGGGGCATTGAAGGTGTTGGTAAAGAACAAGGCTCCAGGAATTGATGGAATACAAATCGAAATCTTTCAGCAAACTGACGTAGCACTCACTTATCTACCTCACCAACTAATTGGAAGACATTCATATTTGTGCCCATTCCAAAGAGAGGTGACCTAACGGAATGCAGAAGTCATCTGAAAAGATCATTAATATCACATGTTAATAAAATGTTGCTAAAGATAATACAAAAACAGCTGCAACAGAGAACTTCCAGAAATTCAGGCTAGATTCAGAAGAGGACATGGAATGATGAATATCATTGCTGACGTCAGATGGATCTTGGCTGAAAGCAGAGAATACCAGAAAGATGTTTACCCGTGTTTTATTGACTAAACAAAGGTTCTTGACTCTGGATCATGACAAGCGATGGAGAACATTGCAAAGAATGGGTATTCCACACCACTGAGTTGTGCTCATGACAAACCTGTACATAGACCAAGAGGCAGTTGTTCAGACAAAATGGAACAATGAATGGTTTAAAATCAGGAAAGATGTGCACCAGGGTTGTATTCTTTCACCATATTCATTCAGTCTTTGTGCTGAGCAAAGAATCTGAGAAACTGGATTATATGAAAAAAAAGCATAGCGTCGGGACTGGAGGAAGACTCATTAATAATATGCATTATGCCAAAGATTCAACTTAACTTGCTAAAAGCAAAGAGGACTTAAAATACTTTACTGATGAAGATCAAAGATCACAACCTTCGGTATAGATTGCACCTCATTGTAAAGAAAACAAAAATCCTCACAACTGGTTCAATAAATAACATCATGATAAATGGAGAAAAGATTGACATTTTCAAAGACTTCATTGTTGGATCTACTATCAACACTCATGAAAGCATTAGGAAAATCTGCTTTACAACACTTCTTTAAAGTGTTCAAGAGCAAAGATAGCAGTTTAAGAACTAAGGTGCACCTGACCCAAGTCATGGCATTTTCAATAGCTTCAATTGCATGCCAAAGTTGGTCAGCGAACAAGGAAGACCGTAGAAGAATTGATGCTTTTGAGTTATAGTGTTGGAGAAGAATATTAAAAGGACTTCCAACTGCCAGAACAACAAACCAATCTGTGTTGGAAGAAGTGTAGCCAGAATGCTCCTTAGAAGCCAGGATGGCAAAACTTTGTCTCTAATACTTCAGACATATTATCAGGAAGGACCAGTCTCTGGAGAAAGCCATCATGCTTGGCAAAGTGGAGGGTCAGTGAAAAAGAGGACGTCCCCAACAGAATGAATTATCACAGTGGCAGCAACAATGGGCTCAAGTGTAAGGATGATTGTGATGGTGATCCAGGACCAAACAGTGTTTCATTGTGTTGTCCATAAACTTACTGTGAATTGGAACCAACCTGATGGCACCTAATAGCAATGTATGCATGTGTTTATTATATAAATTTCTCTCTGAGCATATACCTCTGCTGTGCACCAAAGGTTTTGGTATATTATGTTTACATTCTTATTTGATGCAAGTAATTTTTACTCCGTTTTCAATTTCTTCTGTTACCCAGTAGGTTTTAAGCAGGGAGTGTTATTCAGTTTCCATGTATTTGATTTGTTTCCCTTGATCTTCCTATTCTTGATTTCTAATTTTACAGTGTTGTGATCTGAGATGTTTTGTAGTATTTTGATATTTGTAAACTTACTGATACTTGTTTCGTGGTCTAACATAGGGTCTATTCTGGAGAAGATTCCAGGTGCACCGGCAAAGAATGTACATGGTGCTGTAACTGGGTGAAGCTTGGGGGGGGGGGGGTCAAGTTGGTTGATTGTGTTGTTTAGTTTTTCTATGTCTTTGTTGAATTTCTTTCTAGTTGATTTTGTCCTTCATTGAAAGTAGTGTATTCAAGTCTACTACTGTTGTTTTATAGTTGTCTATTTCTCTTGTCAGATTTTTTATTGTTGCTAAGTGTCATCTAGTCAGTTCCAGCTCATAGCAACCCGGTATAGGGCTTCTGAGGAGTAGCTGGTGGGCTTGAACCACCAGCTTCATGGTTAGCAGTACATTTATTCTACAGTGCCAAACCAGGAACCCCCTTTAGCTTTGTTAGAATTTAGTTTATGTATTTTGAGGTTTTTAATTGGGTGTATAGCTATTTAGTATGATTATGTCCTCTTGTTCAATTGTCTCTTTTGTTTTTGTTTCAAAATCTAGTTTATCAGAAATTCATCTTGCCACTCCTGCTTTTTCTTGGTTGCCATTTATTTGTAATATTTTTTCCCATCACTTGATTTTTAGTCTGTTTTTTTCATTGTGTCTAAATTGTGTCTCTTGTAGAGAACATAGTGATGGATCCCATTTTCTTATCCATTCTGCTGTCATTTGACCGATACATTTAATCCATTAGCTTTCAGTGTAATTATGGAGAGACTGAGTTTATAAATTTATGCAGTCATTTTGCTGTGTGTTTTTCTGTGTGGTGCTAGCTTTTTTTTCAAACTACAAGATGAATCTAAATGGTGGTTATTTTAAGAGTTGGCTGTACTTTTGTCTCTCTCCTTTTGTATGTGAATAGAGCACATATGCCTTATCGGATGGCAAACATTCACTAGCTTGTCAGAAACCCCTGAAGTGGATGCAGTTTTACGTCATTAAATTGAGACAGTGACATGCAGGGAGGGAACAGAATTGATCTCCCCAGGCCTTCTGCATGAGGTAACGGTGGACTCAGAAAGAGAACCCAGGAGGGTTCCTTTATCATCTGTGGTCTTTTCTCTGTAAAACCTTGACCCCTCCTTCGATATGAAGCCTTGGTGACCTCTGACGGGGTCATGTGTTGTGGAGGAAGAAGGGTCTGCTCTGGGTTCCAGAAGAAGGTTGTTCCGACCCCTGGCTGGCAGTCTCATCTCAGACAGGTGACTTACTCACTTACTCACTCTGGCTCTCTACCTCCTTTGAGGCCCTTCCAGGTCCAGCTTCTCCATCGGTGCCTGAATTGGCTTTGGGCACAGGCCTTTGTGTGGTCAGCAGGAGGGGATAGGATTAATACCCCCACTAAATGGAAAGTGGGAGTTTATTGTCTCCTTCCATTTTCTTCTTAATTTCTTTCTTAAGTATACCTCCTTTAAAAGATTAGATACTTAAAAATAGTTTACTTTCCTTGGTTATGCCTTATGGCTTTTATTCATACTTTTAAAGTTCTTAGTCTCCCCTTTTAATGACCACCCCTTCAGTTACTGAACTTCCAAGTTACAATGTACTGGGGCTGTCCTCTCTTCATGGTTGCACTAAATCTGGGTTTCTCTCTCTTCTGTGCTGCAGGAATACCCTCTGGAAGCGGGTCCAGACCGTGGTGACCCCTCTCCTGGCCAGTATAATATCTTTCATCGACAGAGATAGCAACCTTGAGCTACTGGTTAATCCAAAATTTCCACCCTGGGCGAAGGATCTTTGGATGTTTATTTTCAGTGACACCAAGCTTCTCAACATCACTCCTATGATGAATGATACAAGGTGAATGGGAAGGGGATGCTCTGCCATGGAGCTGATGTAAACAGGTATCTGTTGTAGAACCACATTTAATCTTGCCCTTTTTGCAGCCTAAGGATTTATGGTATTAGAGTCATAAAAGCGGATTCATGAAAGTTCTGAGAAATCCCTTTTCACTCGTGGCCTTCTTCAGTTTCCCTGCTTTCAGAGCACCTGATACAGAGCTGGACTCGCCCTCATAGAGAGCAGAGCAGCTACCCTCAGGAGAGCTGTTTGTTCCTCCCTCCGTGGTGGGTACCACGCAGCCTATCCCTGAGCCTCATGCTTCATTGGCCGCCCCGAGCTTCCTGTTTGGACCTCAGAGGGCTTCTCCTCTGGGGTGTGGGCTGTTTACAGAATATCTAATGGAATTGAGAGTTGCCAGTGGGGACGCTTATTTAGAAGACAAGATACTGTTGACCATGAGTGAAGGACCCACTGGAGAAGCCCAGTCTCTGCACAGGGGGAGGGGAAGACTGGGGCTAGGTGACCGAATGCAGTACAGGCAGTGCGAAGGTTAAGTGCTCATCTGTGCCAACTGAGAGGTTGGCAGTTCAAATCTACCCAGTAGCTCTGCAGGAGAAAGACCTAACAGTCTTCTCCCATGAAGCTTTCAGCCCGCAGCTGCTCTAAATCTCCATACTATCACCTCGGCCACCGTCTCTTGGATCACATTCTCCACTCATATTTATCCTTCTCGATGGCCCTGGAATCATCTGTTCCTGAATGAAAGATTAACTGCTCCCTAATTTTACTTACACATCTTCTACAATTACAGTTGTGACAATCACAATTAATCCTTCAAACAGTTACTCACAATTGAGTCATAAAACCCATCAGCATCATCCCCCATCTCCTCCACCAGACCCATCTGGAGAAGAGAAAACGATTCCATGGGAATTCTACCTTACCCCGTCGTTCTGAAACTAAGCACACTCATGAAAGCTTGTAAGTCAGCCACTTCATGCCTTTACAGCCCACCAGTTTGATAGGCAATGTCTAGATTGAAGCCCCCTTACTTTTGAGGGCAGAGAGGAATGGCGTCACAGGTAGGCCTTGTCCTGTCTCAAATGATATCCCATTGATGATCTTCTTTGTCTTTATTGGATTTCTGTAGATCTAGGAGCGAGATGACCTACATCATGGTGCAGAATGATATGAAGCTTTCAGGCACTGATGTTCCATTTAGCTGGAGAATCAAGGACTACCTGGAGGAGCTCTGGATCCAAGCTCAGTACCTCACAGATACTGAAGGTGAGGCTACCTCGAGATAGACATACAAAAAAGCAAATAAGTCTCTTACTCATTGGAGATTATCTTACAATAAACCAGTAGAAAAAAAAATGGTAACTACATTGTGAGGATCATTTTGGAGTTTGTGACTTCAACATTTTCCAGGTGGCATAATCTCAAAAGTATGGAATTCCTTAGTTTTAATATGTGTGCTGAGGGAACAGAAGTCTCCAGCAGAAATCAGAAGCCTTGAACTTACCTGGCCCAGGGCTCCTGTGAAATGTGTTTTAGTATGGTGATGGCCACGGATGTGATGGAATGGGACATTGGACAGGAAGGTACCCTGTCTCAAGTGCCCTGTTCCCTAGCTGAGGTGCTGGACCATGGGGTTAGTGGAATGTTACCTGGCATCTTCTCAGCCAAGGGCTTTGGTGCTAGTAATTCAAGGTTTTTGAAAAGTAATCCTTCACACATACAGAGAACTGCCGTAAAGAAAATAGATGAAAATACTTCATGATGAGCTAATTTGTTTAGGTAAGAACTCTGCCACGTCTTCCGACCGAATTTGGAGCAGTTCATCCTCTGATGAGTGGTTCTTTCTTTCTGGAACAAACTTGAACTGACCTTGTGTGTCTAGAATGACATGTGACTTGAGGCAGCACCCCCACCCCAAGAAGGCAGATGCTTCTGGTTTGTGCACCACACAACCCAGCTCCACCCATTCCTGGTTCACTTAGACCCGTGGTTCTTGAAGCACGTTGGTCATGAACATACAACAGAAACTCGACCCCTTTTGGAGTTTTCTCTTTCAGGGGCTTGCTAGGTGGCTTAGATTTAACACCGATTTTGTCTATTTCTGTTATTCCACTAGAAAAATGCCTAAAATATCTAAAAAGATCATCCCTAGAACTTAGTTCACTGGTACTTCTTTATAGACAGAATCACAGATCCTTGGCCAATGTAAGTTGAGTTGTTCTGATGTCTGGGAAGAGCCAGGATTTATATTCTTTGTCTGAACCATTTCTCTGCAGGGCTGTCAGAGAAGCTAGTGGAAATCTTTCAGCAGACTCCTCTGGGCAGCTTTCTTGCTAAACTCAGTAGTGAGCAACAGCAAATACTTTCCCAGTGGTACTTGAAGGACTTCCTTCTCTTGACCATGACTGTGTCCACATGTGAGGAGTTGAAGGTAAACACTAACTGGGGGGGCTAGTGTGAATTGTGTAATGTGAATTAGATGCAGACATGGGAAAAGGTCACCTTTTATAGAAAAGCCAGCACTGAGAGCCTTTTGTTACGCAGTTTCTACAGATGGCTCTGTGGTCCTGCATGAGACAGCTGAAGGCAGCCGCAGGAAGGCCAGAGGAGGAAGGGGCGTGCCTGCCATGGGTGCACCTTGCCTATCAGCACTTCAGGAGCCGGTTGCAGAACTTCTCCAGGATCCTGGCTGTCTATCCCCAAATCCTGGACAGCCTGAGAGAAGCAACGCAGAAGTGCAACCTGCCTGAGCGTGAGATGGTATGGCCCTTCTTGGGAACACTGAGGTGCTTAGAGGTCCAGAACTCGCTTTTTGGAGTGTAAGGGATCTTCTGACCCCACCCTGGGAAAGAAAGCTTATGGGTTTTATCAGAGGTCGTGAAGTGGAATTGTGACGCATGGCGACCCCATGGGTGCAGAGTAGAACTGAGCTCCACAGTTCCCAGGCCTCACTTTCGCAACAACTCTGGGTGACTTTGAACTCCTAACCTTTGAGCTAGCCGTCCAGAACTTAACCATTTATTGCCACCTGGAGAAGCATAGAGGGCCAGGTCCGAAATGGAAGGTTTCTTCATGGGACACAGATGTCAGTCTAGTGCAGAGATGTTGAGAACATTACATACCAACTAATGCATCCTGTATCCAAAGATAAAGAACAAGCAAGTTATGCTCTGGAGTGGAGACCACACTGGGAAACAGCAGGGCCTCTGGATCTGTAAGGCTGGGTCTCAGCCACAGCTGCTTGGCCTATTCTCTGTCCATTTCTGCAGGTGCTGGATGTGATTGCAGGCGTGGTCTGTGCTGAGATGCTGACCACAGACATCCTGCAGCCGAACCCCCAGGCCTGGCTGCAGATGGTGAAGAACCTGTCCACACCATTGGAGTTCCTCTGTTCTGAAGAGCAAATGCGAGGCAGTGGGAACATAACCATGGTTCTTGTCAGGGAGCTCAGGTGAGGCCCGGGTGCTGGCACCCATATGCTCAGCAGCCTGTGCATGTACCAGGGGCCACCCTGTGAGCCCTAGTAGCAGACACTGCCCCAATGTAGGGCTTCTCCCTTCGAACTCCTGTGCTCCAGTGATCTACGGAATCACGTCCGCTACCAGCGGCACAGGGGGTAGGGATCACTGTGTGGAATGGGGACATGAAGATCAGCAGACTGTGATAGTTCTGTATGGACGGTGCTGTGACAGGAAGGGCACCCGGCCAGAAAGTAGGGGCAAGGTAGGGCAGGGCAGAGCGTGCAGAGGGCCACTCAGTAGAGTGAACCTTGCTGGAGATCATCCTGAGCCAGGCTCTCAGGCCGGGTCTGACCACCGGGCGCATACTGCAGCGGACAGACGGGGTCACTGTGGGTGAGGGCACAGGGTCTGGGACACTCAGTATGTCCGAGGGGAGGTCTGTTCTTTGTCCGAACGCCCTGCCCAGGCACCGCCTGCTCTCCTCCTGACAGGTGCTGTTGGAATCGGATTTTCTCCGTCTCCCTCTTCGTGGAGCACGTGCTCCTGGGGACCGAGAGTCAGATCCCTGAGCTGCTGGAGCTGGTGAAGGCCTGTACCACCTCCCTCAACAAGGTGAGGTTCAGCCTGTCTCCGCAAGGAGTGCCCATTTGCCTCCTTCCGAAATGAGAAATCTGGAGAGACACCACCTGTGTCTGCAGACTAGCAGTTTCCTCTCGGAGCAAGACACACTGGTCTTGGCATGCAGAGCAACGTGATTCCATCCCAGAGAGCGTTAAGTCTTGAATGTTGAACCACACACCTTTCTCTAGTAGCTACTCAGTGTACAGTGGCAGGAACAGGACCCCTCGAACACCTGTATGCAGAGCGGGATTCCTGCTGGTCATTAGATGCACAAGAGTGAGGGAGGGGGAGCAGATCATACTCTGGGATCAGCCTTGGAGCGTGTCTCCCTGGAACTGTCACCAGAGTCAGGAGGGCAGGGAGGCCTCTGCCCCTCCACACCCTTACATAGCTCAGGACAGGACAGGACAGTGCCCTGCAGCAGAGCCACCACCTGTGTAACTATGCTTCTCCGCGGTCACCTCCCTCAGCACAAGGTGGCCTCTCCTCACCCACAGCCTGTGACCTGCACACAAGAGTGCCAGCCAGCTACTCAGTTCATCTTTATTTCAGCCCAGAGAGAAAAGTATAGACTGAAATTTCATAGTAACAAAACTGTCCAAAGGCCTAAAGAAAGTATGAATGCATAAAGTTTGTTGTTGGTTCCAACGCATAATGACCTGTATAGGATTTCTGAGGAGCAGCTTTTAAGATCGAACCACCAACCTTGAAGTCCAGCACATTGACACACAGCACCACACCAGGACTCCGGATCACAGAGTCCTCTCTATCATCAGGTACCAACAAATGTACCATCAATTCAAAAGGTGCTGAAAAGCATTCAATAAAACTCAACACTCATCTGTGATTTGAAAAGTAAAATACTATTGGCAATGTAGGAGTAGAGGAGACCATTCCATAAGCTGATACTGCCTATGGATGTGCAGAGTAGACTTGCATCTAGAGCAAACATCACACCCAACCACAATTCCAGAGCCTTCCCACTGCTGAACATGTACCCTTCCTAAGAGTACTGTGTGTACTGCTAAATTCATAATCTAGATTTAGAACCTTCCTGTGGGTATTCAAGGGGACACACACAGGAATGTTGGGTATAGAATGGTTAACTGCCAAAAGTCGGAAACACTTAAAATGCCCTGTGGCACCGAACCCCCAAGTCAGTTTGAACTGCAAGGTCAGCAGTTCATTGGAGACTCTGTGCAACACTCTGAGTCGGAACCAACCCAACAGCACTTAGCAACAACTGGTATACACCTCAGTGAGTGCCGTGTAACCTCTGACATGAACGCTCAGAAATCCAGGTATCAGTGAGAGGCAAGTCACGGCAGCCTGTAACAGAGTGATTTGACACCATTGATATAGTTAGACAATATGCAAAACAGTAACATGTTGTTTATACAAGCATACATAGATAGTAAGGTAGCATTTTAGGAATATCCTATCTAAGAAGAGAAATGCCATCTGGAAGGGGTACTCATGGAGTGCCAACTGTATCTGTAATATATTGGTTCTTTAAGAAATGATCTAAATGCAAGCATTCTTCTATCTCGAAATGGGGAGCAGGGAGGGACCTTAAAAGAACAAGAAAGAAAGAGGGAAAAATCAGAAGCAGCAGCCTGCTCACAGAGAAGGAAATTTGAAGTTAAAGAAACTGTTAAAAACAAACAAAGACAAAAAGGCAAACAAAACAATACAGGCCTAACCTTTGCCATGTTGGACAGCTGGCAGACAGATGTGGGTCTCATTTTCTTTATTAGCTTTCGGCAACTCACTTCAGCCAACCAGCCACTCCTCTCCTCCTCTACTAATGGGATGCTTCCTTGCTGCCTTTCCCATTCAGAATCTGCAAGACAACTCTGACATCAAGACCCATAGACCTTTTGAGGCTGTAATGACGACTCTCCGTGACTGCAAAAACCAGGCCAGTACCACCTTCACCAGGTAGGTGTCAGACGCTGGATCCGTAAGGAGGATTCTGACCTGCTTCCATCTTTACCTTATCATAATCACCTTGTTTGCTTCAGGACTGATCCCCACACTTCTTGGTTCTAGATATGGAATTCAGCCATGTCCCATTTGTCTGGGCGATGCACAGGATCCTGTCTGTCTGCCCTGTGACCATGTCTACTGCCAAGGATGCATCCGCGCCTGGCTCATCCCAGGGCAGATGAGATGCCCTTTCTGTTTAACCGATTTGCCAGAAAACTTCTGTCTGACTGTTTCCCAAGAGTACAGGTACTATCCCTGTCTCCTAAAATATTTTTTGTTCTTTTTAAAATCATAGTAAGGTGGTGATGGTGGGGGATAGTGTGACCTTGAGGTTAGCAGCCTGACTTGTGACCACTATGCCACCAGAGCTCCTGGTCCTAAAAGGAGTTGTACCTAAATCATGTCTATAGCAGTTTTGATGACCAGCTCTAACCAATGTAAAGACATAGTTGTATTTTTTAATGTACATATAAAACACCATCCAAATCCATATTACTATGTATGGAGCTGCAGTGCAACAAATTCTACAAGGCTTTTGACCATGTCTTTCCACCAATCCTAAGGTCGGCCATAGAGAAACACGCCCAATTCCGGCAGATGTGCAACAGTTTCTTTGTAGACCTGGTTTCCACCATGTGCTTCAAAGACAACACTCCACCTCAGAGAGATGTCATTGAGGCCCTGCTGTCTTTACTCTTTGTGCAAAAGGAGCTCTTGAGAGAGGCCCCCCAGAGTAAGTGGCTTTCATCTTACAGACCTAACAGTTAGTCTCTCCTTCACTTATCTTTGTACATCTGATGAACCCTGAGCTACTTTTTTCTTTCTGATTTAAGGACATCGTGAGCACACAAAATCTCTCTCCCCATTTGATGATGTGGTAGATAAGACACCTGTCATCCGCTCGGTGGTATTGAAACTGCTACTGAAGTACAGGTAAGAGCAACTCCCTTTGAGAATTGCTTCTAGAAAGCCTTGACTCTTCGCTTTACACTCTTCACCCCATCCCCATCCCAATCCTGACTCTCTCTTTGCGGCCAAGTTTCTTTTTCATGAGTAATGTGGCACTGTAGGACAAGTCGGAGGTTCAAACTCACCAGTTGCTCCTCGGAAACCCTATACAGGCTTGCTATTAGTCAGAACCATCTCGAAGGCACTTTAGCAACAATAACCAATAAGGTCATAATTTTGAGAAGTTTTACAGTGAGACCACTTGGTTCGTACATTGATATTGGTTGTGTGTGTCCACATCTTCACACAGAGGAAATGTGTGTGATATAGTCACAAGCACACATTTAGCAAAGAAGAAAATGGTAAGTGGGAAAGAGCCACACTGTTCTGAAAATGCAGGAAGGAACCCAGGAGTCAGGAATCGAGGATTCTGACCCTACTTCTACAGCAGTCGGGCTTTGTGTTATTAGGGCAGTAACGTCGAATCCGCTAAAGCTTTCTTTCAATTCTTGAATTTCTGATTTTTGAATGGGTAGGAGAAACCCTTAGAGCAGGGGTCAGAGCTCAGTAGTTTTGTGAAACTACCATATTTTGGAAAACTCTGAGAAAGTTTATCTGTATTCTTAAGGCTTCTGCTTGCAGAAGGTCCTCATTGTACTCAGCGGAATTCTGACTTGACAGCATATACTTTGAAATGTTGGCAAAATCAAGATTCTGTAATAGAAGTCTTACAGAAAACAGCTATTTCCAAATTTCATATGTAAATTCAAACTCAGGAGACATTAGATTTCTACAATGGGACTTCAAAAGTTCATGAAAAAAAATGGAATGAAAAGATAATAGTAATTTTATGTACAAAGTGGAGTTGCTGCATCTTGGTGGGCATTTCATTTTCTTTATGTTTCATCATTTGTGAACTAGTCTGCTCAACACAAGCTTCCTAAAGGATTTTCACATAAAATCATCATACATATGCACTAGAGTATTAGTAAAAGTATTACGGAATGTCAGAAGAACAAACAAATCTGTGTTTGAAGAAGTACAACCAGAATGCACCTTAGAAACCAAGATGGTGAGACTTCGTCTCTCATACGTCGGACATGTTATCAGGAGTGACCAGTCCCTGAGAAGGACGTCATGCTTGGTAAAGTGGAGGGTCAGCAAGAAAGAGGAAGATCGATCCCCAGTGAGATGGATGAAGTGGCACAGTGGCAGCAGCAATGGACTCAAGTGTAAGCCCGAATGTGAGGTTGGCCCAGGACCAGGCAGTGCTTCATTCTATTGTGCATCAGGCCACTGTGAGTCAGAACCAACTCCATGGCACCTAATAACAACACAATTATACTTTACTAGATATTTCAAATTATTTGCTTTCCAGATACATAGCTGTCTTCCAGATTTCTTGGCATAGACGAGTGAGCACCTCCAATGCTTCATCAGTTAGTTTAAACAAAGATTTCTGTTTGTAGTCTGTCAGTTCCTGGAGCCTTGCTTTTTACCAGTGCCTTCAGTGCAGCTTGGACTTTTCTCTTCGGTGCCATTGGTTTTTTGATCATATGCTACCTCTTGAAATGGTTGAATAGCAATCATTACTTTTTGGTACAATGACTTTGTAGTCTTTCCATCTTCTTTTGATATTTTATTCATCATTCAGCATTTGCTCATAGAATTCTTCAATATTGTAAGTCATGAGATGAAATAGAGAACAGATGATCTATAATATGGAATTTTGTATATTCCTGGTGTGGTGCTGCAGGATAAGCAGTGGACTGCAAACCACAAGGTAGGCTGTTCCAACCCACCAACTGCTCCTCAGAAACCCTGTACAGGGGCGCTCTGAATCAGAATTGACTTGACAGCACTTAACAACAATAATATTGTGCTAAATATTTTCAATAAAATCAAGTTGCAAACTATTATACATACATAGTATGCATATGGAGTCCTGGTGTGGCACTGTGGGTTAATGCACTGGACTGCAAGGTCAGTTTGAACCACAGTGTCTGTGGTTCAAGCTTACCAGCTGCTCCTGGGAAACCCTATACAGGGTATCTATGAGTTGGAATCGATTGGACAGCACTTAACAATACTAACAGTATATATATATATGCATATTCATGTGTCTTTGTTGATGATGTTGATGTTGTTATGTACGATGGAGTCGGTTCCAACTCATAGTGACCCTGTACAGGGTTTCCGAGGCTGTAAATCTTTACAAGAGTAGAAAGCCTCATCTTTCTACCGCGGAACAGCTGGTTAGTTTTGAACTGCCGACCTTGAGGTTAGCAGCCCGATTTGTAACCACTACGCTACAGGTGTAGAAACATACATAAATGTATACATATTTGATAATAAGTCTCTAAATCTGAGATAATTTGTCATAACATTCCTCTTTTAACAGCTTCCATGAAGTAAAAGATTATATTCAGGATTACTTGTCTCTGTTAGAGAAGAAAGCCTTCCTCACTGAAGATAAAACCGAGCTCTATGCCCTCTTCATCAACTGCCTGGAGGTAAGCTAGAGCGTCCCAGCATTGCTTTTGCCAACGTCCTGAACCACAGGCTTCATACAATGAAGAGTGCTTCTGAAAAATTGCACAGTATCATGTGAATCTGTTCATACGGGAAAAGAAAGGTTTCAAAGACAGTGCTTTTGCCTTAAACTGTTGTCTCTACTGCCATCTGTGTGCCTCAGAAAGGACCCCCACCGAAGGGTAACAGTCTTCGTCTCGGCACGTCTGACTTACTTTTCTTCTTGTCGTATTGTACTCATTTCCACGATTTTCACAATACATAGGAAAACACTTAGATTTTACAAAACACTTTCCTTCTTGCTCCTAAAATAAGGACTGGAAAACATCACACTCAAACCTCCAACAAAGCAGCTGTTGTTAAGTGCCATCAAGTCGATTTCAACGCATAGCGACCCTGTATAGGGTTTCCGAGGAGCATCTGTGGCCTTGAACTGACACCTTCAGGTTCAAAGCAACCTTTGTATAAAGTGCCACACCAACAAAGCAGATCTCGTCTCTTTGTTGTTGTTAGGTGCCATCATAGCAACCCCTACGTACAATGGAACAAAACACTGCCCAGTCCTGTGCCAACCTCACAGTCGTTGCTATGTTTGAGCCCACTGCCATTGCCTCTGTGCATCATGGTGGGGGTCTTCCTCTTGTTCTCTGACCCTCCACTTTACCAAACATGCTGATATCTTTCTTCAGAGACTGCTCCTTCCTATGCCCACAGTGTGAGAGATGAAGTCTGGCCATCCTGGCTTCCAAAGAGCACTCCAGCTGTACTTCTTCCAACACAGATAGGTTTGTTCTTTTGGCAGCCCATGGCACTTTCAGTATTCTCCTCCAACACCATAACTCAAATGCACCAATTCTTCTACCGTCTCCCTTATTCACTATGCAGCTTTCACCTGCCTGTGAGCTAGACTTCACCCTTCCTTAGCTCTGTAGGAGTCACACGGTGGCAATTTTACAAAGGGACTTGCATACTAAAAAGAATAATATCCTTTTTATCTCACTCTTTGTTCCTAGGATTCAATACATGAGAAAACTAGTGCTATCTCTGAAAATGAGGAACTGAACTACATACGAGAGGAAGCTCAGTACCTTGGGACTTATTCTCCACTGAGTCATGGCCCAAAGCCTGTTAAGGAGGCTTCCATTGGATACCTGCAGACAATGGCTCGGATCCGCCTCTGTCTCGACAGAGCTTCAGATTTCCTCTTTGAGCTTCATGCGGGTTCAGGCAAGTCGTCCTCACTGCCTCGCTCCACCTTGGGCCAATCATTCCTTGTTGTTAGGTTCCATCGAGTTGGTACTGACTCATACCAACCTTATGCACAACAGAACAAAACATTGCCCAGTCCTGCGTCAGTCTACAATTGCTGCTACGCTTCAGTCCATTGCTGCTGCCACTGTGCCAACCCATTGGGGGTCTTCCTCTTTTTCCCCAACTCTCCACTTCACGAAACATGATATCCTTCTCCAGGAACTGGTCCCTCCTGATAACGTGTTCAAAGTATGGGAGATGAAGTCTGGCCATCCTGGCTTCCGAGGAGCATCCTGGTTGTATTTCTTACGACACAGATTGTTTTTGTTTGTTTGTTTTTGCAGTCATGGTACTTTTAATATTCTCTCCCAACACTATAACTCAAATGCATTAATTCTTCTACAGTGTTCCTTATTTACTGTCCAATCTTGCACATGCATATGAGCGTATTGACAATACCATGGCTTGTGTCAGGCGCACCTCAGTCATCAGACTGACATATTTGTTCTTGAACATTTTAAAGAGGTCTTGTGCAGCAGATTTGCCTAATACAATATGTTGTTTGATCTCTTGACTGCTGCTTCCATGAGTGTTGATGGTTAATCCAAGCAAAATGAAGTCCTTGACAACTTCAGTCTTTTCCCATTTGTATGGATGTTGCTTATTGGTCCAGTGATGAGGATTTTTTTAAGTTTTTATAGTGAATTGAGTGATAGTTTACATGGGAGAACATCGGTTTTATACTCATTGTTTCATTGCAATGATTACAATCTTCTTCATGCATCATCATTCAGCAGTATTTGCTTCTATTCCCTCTGGGTTTTGTTGTTTTTTGTTTTTTGTTTTAAAACTTCTACCTTTACAGTTGTCACAGTTGCAATTAGTCATGATAACAATTATTCACTATGGAACCATAAGAATCTTATCCCCATCTCCTATCACCAGAGGTGTCTAGACAAGATGAAAACTATTCATTGGGGATTCTACCTTTCCGCACACACTCTGAAACTAAACTCCCTCTTGAAAACTTGTAAGCCAGTCACTTTGTGCCTTTATAGATCCCCCATTTTAATAATAATAATAATCCCGCAATGTCTGAGTTGCCCTTTCCTATTAACCCTGTAGTATACAGAAGGGACTGGATTGATACCTGATGTGAAGACTCCTTCCCTCTCAGTTGGTATTTTGAGCTACTACATCCATAAGTATAGGTCAAGTTCACAGTGATGAGGATTTTTGTTTTCTTTACATTGAGATGCAATCCATTCTTCATCAGTATTTTAAGTACACTTCACTTTCAGCAAGCTGCATATTACAGGTTGTTAATGAGTCTTCCTGATGCTACGTTTTTCTTCATAAAACCCAGCTTCTCGGATTATTTGCTTAGCATACAGGTTGAATAAGTATGGTGAAAGAATACAACCGTGGTGTACACCTTTCCTAATTATAAGCCATTTGGTGTTCCCCTGTTCTGTTCAAACAACTGCATTTTGGATTATGTACCAGTTCCTCATGAGCACAATTAACTGTTCTGTAATACTTATTTTCCACAATGTTATCCATAGCTTCTTTATGATCCACACAATCAAAAGCCTTTGCGTAGTCAATAAAACATCTTTCTGGAATTCTCTGCTTTTAGCCAATATCCATCTGATTTCAGCAATGTTCCACATCCTCTTCTGATTCCAGCTTGAACCTCTGGAAGTTCTCTGTCAATGTATACTTGCAGCCATTTTTGAATTTTCTTTGGCAAAATTTAACTTGCACACTATAGTAATGATATTTTCTGATGATTTCCACATTCCATTGGCCACCTCTCTTTGGAACGGGGAAAATACGGATTTTCTAATCAGTTGGCCAAGTAGCTGTCTTCCAAATTTCTTAGCATAGATAAGTGAGTGTCTCCAGTGCTGCATCAGTTTGTTGAGAGCTTTCAATTGTAGCCTATCAATTCCTGGTTCCTTGATCTTTCCAGTACCTTTAGCACACATTGGACTTCTTCCTTCAAACTCACTGGCTCTTATCATATGCTATCTCTTGAAATAGGTGAACATTGACCATTTCTTTTTGGTATAGTCCTCCCATCTTGTTTTGATGCTTTCTGCATTATTCACTATTTTGCCCTTAGAATCCTTCAATATTGCAAGCTGAAGCTTGAGTTTTTTCTTCAGTTTCCTCTGCTTGAGAAATGTTGAGTGTATTCTTCTCTTTTGGGTTTCTAACTGCAGTTCTTTGCCTATTTCATTATAATATTTGACTTTATCTTCTCAAACTGCCCTTTGAAATTTTCTACTCAGCTCTTTTACATCCTCATTTCTTCCATTTGCTTTAGCATCTCTATACTGGAGAGCAAGTTTCAGAGTCTCTCCTGACATCCATTTTGGTCTTTTCCTTGTTTCTTGACTTTTTAATGACTTTTTGCTTTCATCCCACAACTCTTCTGGTCATCAGTCTTAGTGTATAATGCACCAAATGTGCTCTTCAGATGATCTCTAAATCTAGGTAAGATATGGTTCAAGGTCATACTTTGGCTCTTGTGGACTTGTTTTAATTTCTTCATCTTCAGCCTGATTTTGTATTTGAGCAATAGATGGTCTGTTTCACAGTCTTCCCCTGATGACATGGAGCTCTTCTATCGTCTCGTGCTACAAATGTAGTCAGTTTGATTTCTGGGTATTCCATCTGGTGAGGTTCATGTGTATAGTCATCTTTTATGTTGTTTTAAAAAGGTATTCGCAATCAACAAGTCATTAATCTTATAAAATTCTATCATTTGAGTTCCAGCATTGTTTCTATCGCCAAGGCCATATTTTCCAATTGCTGATCCTTCCTCTTTCCAACCTTTGCATTCCAATGGCCAGTAATTATCAATATATCTTAATTGCATGTTTGACCAATTTTAGACTGAAGAAGTTGGTAGAATTCTTCAAGTTCACCATCACTTGTTTTAGTGGTTGGTGCATAAATCTGAATAATAGTAGTATTAAGTGGTCTTCCTTGTAGGCATATGAATATTATCCTATCACTATCCTATCACAAACTGTGTTGTAATTCAAGACAAATCCTGATATGTTCTTTTTGGTGATGAATGTGATGCCATTCCTCTTCAATTTATCATTCCCAGCATAGTAAACCATGTATTGTTAGATTCAGAATGTCCTCCAATACCTGTGTATTTTAGCTCACTAATGCCTAGGATCTGCTGGTGTGGCATAGTGGGATAATGCACTGGACTGAAAGGTCAGTTTGAACCACAGGGTCGGTGGTTCAAATTCACCAGCCTCTCCTCGAAACCCTATACAAGATTGTTATGAGTCAGAACTGACTCAACGGCACTTACCAACAACAGCAACGCCTATGATACTGATGTCCATTTCATTTTTGGCAATTTCCATTTTTCCCAGATTCATACTTGGGTACATTCCATGTTCCAATTCGTAATGTACGTTTACAGCTGTTTCTCTTCATTTTGAGTTGTGCCCCATCAGTAAATAAAGGTCCTGCAGGCTTTACTCCATTTGCATCATCATGGTCAGCTCTGCTTTGAGGAGGCAGCTCTTCCCCAGTTGTATCTGAGTGCCTTCCAACCTGAGGGGCTCATCTTCCAGCACTCTATCTGACATGATTCTGTTACTCTTCATCCTGTTTCAATATTCAATATATTGGTACTAACAGTGTTCCTCTGCTTTACATAAGGTTTTCAGGGACTGACTCTTCGGGAGTAATCATTCCCTCCTCCCTACTCGTTGTCTGGAAGCTCAGCTGAAACCTGTCCATCCTGGGTGACCCTGCTGGGATTTAAAATACCCATGGCGTAACTTCTAGAACCACAACAACACACAAGCCACCACAATAGAATAAACTGACAGACAAGTTGTGGCAAGTGTCCTTAGTATTTAGAAACTCAGAAGAAAGGAAAACTGATTTTGAAAGCGGGATTGGTCCCTCCTACATTCCCTTTCTTCTGGAATCATTTTGCTGTGAACTAAGGAGCAGTAACCATGCTCGTTAGCAGCTTCGTGTCCAGGACCATTGTCTAGTACATAGTCCAGTCACCTGCACTCACCCACTTTCTCAATGAACTTTCCAGGAATTGCTGAGGAAAAGCAGCGCTATCTGCAGCAAGTTCAGCACTTCTGTATCAAAGCCAAGAACGACTGGTTCCGGGTGTACTTGGTGAGGAGGCTCGCGAACCAGCACACAATGGAGTTTGTGCAGAGATTTGCCAGACGGGGTCACCCAGCCCAGTGGGTGTTCCCCAAGGAAGTCATTGTACAGCAGGTGAGAAGTGCTGTCCCTGGCCAGCTCTTGCTAAGGCTCCCTGCTTCCTCCTCATCCTCACTCACTTGCACAGCCACTAAGGAAACAGGAGGCTCTGGGAGGGTCCTTTGCCTTGGTGCTTCGTCATGGTGTGTAGCCTGCCTGCCATTGTGAGAGAGAGTGTGTATGTGCACAGGTTTCTTCATCTACATATAAAGCTTATTGAGGTGTCACTTCTGATTGAGTGTGACACAGGCAAAGTAAAAGAAGGGGTCTGTGGCCTGTGCTTTCATCACATTCATCTGTAGGAGCTCTTCTGTTTACGGCAGAGACCGGAGAGAATGAAAACTGTGGATAAAAGAGCTGCAGTATGCTTGGCTCACGACCTTGCTGTGGTCCTCCCCTAGTGTTTAGAAATGAACAAATCCTCACTGTCCAGCAGTAAAAGTTCAGACATTTTGTTTGTCTGAAGTCAGCTGGCCTTTGGCATTATGCGTTCAGTAGAGAAAAAGCATCAGCAGGATCAGCAATGCCTTCTGCCCAGGCTTGTCCCTCATGTATCCCGCTACCTCTTCCTGAGGAGGATGCTCTTCCCAAAGACGGCACTTGATGGTTAGGCCTGTGTGTGAGCAGGGCTCCCAGCTCAGCCCCCTTGAGACCTCTTTATCTATAGAGGCAGTTCTTTGCAAACATTCTCTGTCCTGATTAAGCCCTGTCTTCCTGACTTGCAGGAGGACTATCCAGGCCAGCTGGACCGATTCCTGGTGTACGGCGATGGATACAAGGCTCTTCGTGATGCGGTCGGGAGAGCTGTCCTCGAGTGCAATCCCAAGGGCATCACAGCTGCTCTGGAGGTAATGGGACTCCAGGTTTCTCTGGGGCACAAGATGGTCCCCACTCAGGGCCCACATCTCTCTTAGGTGTGTAAATGATGCCGTGGTGATAGCTCAGTGAAGAGCTCTGCCGAGTAGCACACTACACCCACAGTCAGGTGCCTGGGGCCTTCGTGGTTGCAGTGGATGGTGCTACTTGTGGCCTACGTCCTGAATACTATAACAATAGTCGTTGAGTTGCTCGGTTGACCACTTTGTGTTTTGCTGGACAGTCAAGGTCATCAGAAGCTCATTTTCAATTTGAGCATGCCCATTACTTCCCATGAGACTGAAGAATCACTTCTTCTATGTGTACATACACTCACTCATACTTCAAGTATATCTGCTCACTGTGTGTTTATTTTTATAAAGATGTAAGACTTTCCGAATGTAATCTTTAAAGTGTTTAGGTCTTGCTTCCTTTTGAATCCCTGTTGGCCCTGCTGGAAAAGAGAAAATCAAATATCCTCTCTCTGCGTAGGACAATTGTAGTTGACTAGTAAATGCATCAGCGCTGGTACTCTGTCATGTTGTTGTTGTTGTTAAGTGCCATCGAGTCGGGTCCAACCCATAGCGACCCTGTACAGGGTTTCCGAGGGTGTAAATCTTTACGGGAGTAGAAAGCCTCTCCTGATAAATATGCTTTGAGGCTATGGTGCGGTCCAAGAACTATTTGTCAGACGATCTGGACGTGTAGGAGCCTAGGAGTACAGGGACTTGGGAAAGGTTTCCTCACCTTCTTTATGGTTTGGGGTTGATCCACATTCCATATTAACATACGGGTCATACTGGACTCTGATAGATCTGTATCTTTTAAAATTCTCACGGATTATTTTTGCTTTCTCAGGCCAGTAAGGACTCTAACGCTCAGCAGGCAGTCCACTTACTGTTGGCGCTCTTCCGGGAGGTCACTGTCTTGTACAGATCCCGTAACGCAAGGATCTTCCGTACGCCAGAGGTGAGGTTCATTACTTGGTGTTTCTTTTCAGTCTCAGTATTTAGAGGAGCTTTTTTGGATGGATGTAAAAGTCACAAATACACATTTGCCCGTAGTGTTTTTATTTAGAATGTGAAGTTTCCCACCATGTTAGGTAAAGAATCTATTTTCTGTTAAATCAAAGCTTTTAGAATTGCAATTAAAACTAAAGACTATAAGGTGATGTTTCCCAAAACGGGCTATCAAAATTAGTGTTTAAGTATGCACTTGCTGTGTTTGTATATGAAAATTCTCTTCCCTAAACCTAAGTATTTTCCATCAAAAATAGGTGAAAAATACTTACCTGGCAGGGGAGATACCATGATCATGAAGGTGGTTTTCCCAGGGCGAGGTTTATCCATTGCACTCCGCATGTGCTGAGCCCTTCGATTTCCCCAAATGTGGGAAACTCGACTGCAGAATTTGTGGTAGTAGGGGATTGCGTTCGCGTTCTCCCCTGGGGAAAAAAAAAAAAAGTGATAATCATTTTTACATTGAAATTTGATGTTTATTTGGTATTAAAATATATGGATAACTCTAAACAAACCTTTGAATTCTCATAATAGTCTCCTCTGATATGTTTTACTATAAAAAAACATTTTTCTTGTCAGCAATGTGAGGCTGTGAACAGATTCATTGAAGACACAGAGACCCTTTCTCCTGAAATCAGACATTTTGCGACATCCCTTGTGGCCAACACTCAGCCATTGCTGACAGCAGTTCCCAGTGACGGAGGCCTTGACACAACAGTGACAGAGATGGTTGTTCACGCAGCAGCCACCCTTCTCTGTGCACAGAACAAGGTCTTGGAACCCCTGAAGAACCTGGCCTTCTTCCCGGGCCACATGCTGGTAAGATGGGTGTGGAATCATTTGTCACTTTACTGTAGGCATGGAGAGTAATGGACATTGTCACCCTCCAGTTTCTCATTCTGCCTCTTATGTCATTTCATCTGTTTGCCCACAGTGATGGGCAGTTATGTTTTCTCCATAGATAGCTTTTGAAGGCGGGAGGAAAAGAGAAGCAGTTGTTCATTTTCTTATTCTAGGATTCCTGCTGAACAACATCAGTCCATGAGTTTGCTCACTTAGTTAACTCTAGCTCTGCTTTTGCCCCCAGAATGCTTTTCTTCCCACCATGCCTGAAGACTTGCTGGCTCAAGCTAGGCGTTGGATGGGTCTGGAAGGAGTCCGCTGGTACAGTAAGTAGTGGTGTCTCAGGTGGAATGACACCATCCTCAGCTCTCCAGAGCAGTGCCATGCCCCTAGAATTAGATTGGGACCCAAAGAGTTTACATCTGAAGGTACAAGAGTACCACCTCGTTCTGCCTTTGGCACCTTTCGGAACTTCAGTTGCCCATAGGAAATGGCACTGTACTGATGATGGATGGTCCAAAGCATTTGCTTTCTTAATCATGAAGAATCAAGGCCCTAAGATACACACTAGTGCTGACTAATGGGGGAGTGGGGAGTGGGACGAGGTTGGGAACTACATGAGAGGCTCATTAAAGGGCCAGAGCAAAGTATAACCAAGGTTTGACCCGAAGATAGCTCTTCTGAAGTAGAAAACTGAGAGACAGAATAATACAACTCACAACTGCATCTGAAATTTGCTGTTACCCTGAATAAATAATTAATCTTTTAAAATGACATTTAAAGGTTGTTTAGAAAACATGCTCTGATGAAAAAAACAAAGAGGAAAGTGTCAAATCCTGCCTCTCCCAAAGTAACTCCAGTACAAGCCACTAATCTTTTTCTTTGCTTTTAAAATTAAATTCAGAAACATTTTTTCAATCACAACATAAAGTTATTGAGCTGTTATACTATCAACTGTGCCAAACAGCCAGTACTGAAGCTAAGAAAGTAGTTTAAGATGACTGGTAACGTGCTCAGGATAGCCAGAGTACATTATATTTCAGTTACGTTCCCTTTCAAACATGGTCATGAGGTGAAGCTTCCTCAGCTAACATGCACCTTGTTCTTCTAACAGCTTGTCCCAGAGGCCATCCGTGCTCTGTAGGAGAGGTGAGTCGGGGTTTGGGAAAGGGTCTGCTAGGCTCTAAATGTGGGCTCTTTGAGGTCTGAGGAGAGGGAGCCGTTGAAGAGGGCGAGAACGGGGACCTGGATCTTCTAGGGGGCGATTCCTGGTGTGGCACTGTAGAATCAGTACTGAACTGCGAACCACAAGGTCAGCAGTTGAAGCCCACCAGCTGTTGTAAGGAAACCCTATAGAGGGTAGCTATGAGTTATGACCAACTTGACGACCCTTAACAAGAACAGCAGATCTTCTGGGGAGAACACAGACTCATTCAGAAGACTGTCCCCGGTGTTCCAACCACACATCTAAGTGGTGATAAGCTGTCAGTACAGGGAGGCTTGGGGGTGCCTGGGCATTGTGGACGAAATCATCCTTTCTTGTGGTAATCCTTTTCTGTCCGGTGCAGGGTAGAATGTTTAGCAGTATCTCTGGCCTCGACTCACTAGATGTCAGGGAGAACCCCCAGTCAAACATGACAACTAAAATGTCTCCAAACATGCCAGGGGCTCCCAGGGAGACGGAACTGTCACTGGCTGCGTGCTACTGGTAGCCATCCTTTCTTGCCACTGCAGTGTGAGGTCACAGGTCCTCGCTGAATGACAAAGTGCTGACTAGACCACAGGCAGCATCACTTGCCCACTGAGCAGAGGGTGGAGACAATAGGGATGGAATGAGAGACTCAAAGATTGTTAGCCTTGTGGGGGAAACAACGGATTAGGATTCACAGCTGAATCCCTAAGCATTTCTCCCAGGGCCCTTCCTTCAGTGGATCTGTCCTTGCTCAGCAACAGGCAAGCTCTCTGACCAATAGGACACATGGAGAAAACCAGATACACTCAGAGCTCGTCTTTCTGAGCCTCCTGCACCTCCTTGTCTGTGAAATGAAGAGACTAAAACCAGTTCTTTCCCAGACCTCTCCCAGCTCTGAAATCTAATGGGTCTGAGAGTCTCTGGTTTGGGTTGGCTCTGTTACAGGCTGGATTCATGTATACTGTAGGAGGACACAGTCTGTCTTGGAGAAAGATGAGCCTTTGGAAGCACTAAATCATATGCTTAGCTCTTCTTTTTTTTTTTTAAATAAAAATATCCCAGTAGAGTTAAGGTAATGGTTTGGGGGCTATTGTCGTATTCCTGTGTGAGAGAAGTAAACACTAAAGACTAGTGTAATAGTAATGGGAATGAGGAAAATGATCAGGGAGAAAGAAAGCTTAAGCTTATATATTTGTCTATAAAGTGTCACTCTACTTGGAAATAAAACTTAAATCTCTCCTGTTCAAAAAAGAAACATTCAAATTTGCTAGTGTCCTGCATAATTGGTGAAGGGTACCTGCCCTGTCCCCCAGGGCTCCTCCAGTCTCCTCTGAACTAGACATAGACTAGAAGAAGCACTCCCTCCGTCCTGTGGCAAGAATGTCTTCACTGGCACGCGGGTGGGGTTTGTGCATACAATGACACTGGTTCCAAGACTGAACTGAGTCATGTTGGTCTCTATCTCAGTGCGGCATGCCCATGGAGGAGAGCTACTGCCTTGACTGTGGTCTTCGAGTTGGAGGTGCCAATCACAAACCCCGTGTTGGATTCATTGCTATCAAGTATGTAAGATTGGATTTCTATTGTACATCATCAAACTGTGGTCTTCTGGGCTGTTTCTATTCCAGCTGATAAGTGGAAAGAGCAAATATGATAGCATAGTATATGTGGATGCGTGTCATATTGGACACCAACACCAATGTCTCTGGGTTCCTATAGCTGTGAGATTATTTGATCTGTCAGGGGTAAGTGGTCTCTTAAACCCAAAGCCGATTTGGCTTTAATACTTCAATGCCTTCCATCTGGGACCTGCGCAAACCCCCTATAGAAACAGGCTGGACATATGCAGGTCATTGAACTTGGGGAACATTTACATCTGCAGTACCAAACGCTTAGCATTTATCTATGTGCACTAAGCATTCATCTCTCTGAGCAAAAGCTATTGTACACGCAGTCTATCTCAGCTAGTTTAGGGAAAGTGAAGGTGACATCATCATATTATCAAATACCAGATTTCATAATCCCGACAAAAAACTGATCTCATGATCATGTTTGCTCATGAGAAGATAACCCCTAAAGACCAGAGATGGGATCTACCCTGGGTTCTTTAAACACTCTGGCTATTATGATGCCATCCGAGTTTAAATATTGAATCCCATTCTCTCCATAACTATCAGAATGACCTAACATTCCTGTCAGACTGTCTCCCATCTGGCTGTGACAGGGAAGATGTGGAAAGTCATTGGACTTGGAAAAACAACAACATGTACATATCACCATACTGATGTCCAGCTTCCTAGGCCTTCTTCCCACCCCACCCACAACAACCCCAGTGGAAGTCCCAGACCCAGACCCCTGTCCTGACACTGCCCAGGAATCAGCACCAACATCCCTATAACTCAGCACTTGACAACAGTGCTGTGGGCTTTGTTCAGTCAAAAAGGTGAGCACATCTACAAAGTTAAAGGCCCTTAGGAAAGTGGTCTGGACTTGGTAGATTGAGAAGTACTGTAACACGGTTTCTTCAGAACTGTGAAGCTAGCCTCCAAGTCCTAAGAAACTGCAGTGTCCTAGCACTGAGACGAAATGGTCATTGTCAGTCGTCACCCTGGCTTCTCTTGTCTTTTCCAGAAATGATACAGACAGAACTCAGACTGGCCATGTGCTGGGAAGCCCTGTAGCCAGAGATGAGATGGCAGTATCGGACCGAGGCCTCTCTCCGGTGGTTTTCATTCTCATCCGGTTACTCACGCATTTGGCTATGCTTCTGGGAGCTGCCCAAAATCCCCAGGTATAACGTGGTAGTGCCACCTGTGGGTGGATTCACAACAGAATGACCAGTTTAGTTTTCTCAGAGTGAGTTGTTTTGGCTTGAAAAATCCTTACTGCTTTATAAGGGTTTTTGTTACCTTCTCCACAAAGAAGGAGCCCTGGTGGTGCAGCTGTGAAGTACTTGGCTGCTAACAGGAAGGTTGGAATTTAAACCCATTTAGTGATTCCTCAGGACAAAGACCTAGTGATCTGTCCCATAAGGATTGTTATTGTTAGATGCCATAGAGTCGATTCTGACTCAACAACCCCATATAGTTTCCAACGAGCAATTGATTGGTTTGAACCGCTAACCTAGTGGAGTCCAGTGCTTATCCTACAGTGCCACACCAGGACTCTCATCCCATAAAGATGATGCTCTAGAAAATCTTGGGGATGCAGCTGCTCTGTCACAGGGAGTTGCTATGAGTCAGAATCAATTTGATGGCACCTAATGATTCTTCTTGGATCAACCATCAACACTCACGGAAGCAGCAGCCAAGAAATCAGACGATGTATTACATTAGGCAAATCTGCTGCACAAGACCTTTTTAAAGTGTTGAAGAGCAAAGATGTCAGCTTGAGGACTAAGGTACACCTGACACAAGCCATGGTATTTTCAATAACCTCACATGCATGCGAAAGCTGGACAGTGAATAAGGAAGACTGTAGAAGAACTGATGCTTTTGAGTTATGGTGTTGGAGGAGAATATTGAAAGTGCCATGGGCTGCCAAAAGAACTAACAGATCCATGTTGTCAGAAGTGCAGCCAGAGTGCTCTTTGGAGGCCAAGATGGCCAAACTTAGTCTCTCATACTTGGGACATAATTGTTAGGAGTTGCTGAAGAAGGATATCATGATTGGTAAGGTGGAGGGTCAGAGAAAAAGAGGAAGACCCCCCAACGAGATGGACTGGCCAAGTGGCAGCATCAGTGGGCTCAAGCGTGGCAACAATTATGAGGTTGTCCCAGAATTGGGCAGTGTTTCGATTTGCTGTGCATAAGGTCGCTATGGGTCAGCACCAACTTGATGGCATCTAACAACAACAACAACAACACAATATAGGGAAATTACACTCCTCGGAAACCCTATACAGGGTCACTATGGGTCGGACTGACTCAGTGGCATGTAACAACAACAACAACAATGCAGTAATAATTCACATTGTTGTTGTTATGTGTTGTGGAGTCGGTTCCGACTCTTAGCGACCCTGCCCAGGGTTTCTGAGGCTGTAAATCTTTACGGGAGCAGAAAGCCTTATCTTTCTCCCGCAGAACAGCTGGTAGTTTCAAACTGCTGACCTTGTGGTTCACAGCCTGATTTGTAACCACTATGCTACCAGAGCTCCTTTACATAGCAATATAAAATTCACACACACTCGTTTTCCCACTGTTGTCAAGGCAAATCTGGAGGAACTGTTCATGCGGTTACATTCAGTCCAATTGAAATGAACAACTCTGTGCCTTAAGGCCACACCCAGAAGTGGTTCATCCAAATTGGCCTGGTGGCTCTAGAAAAGAGAGACACATGGTGTTTCCTGTGAGTGCGCCCCAGCTAGGATAGGAACGCCCTCTGCAGACTTGGAGCATCCTCACTTCACTCTAATGCCCTAGAAGCCAGTCACTTTCAGGTTGCACTGCTTTGTTCCACTCTTAGGGCTGATTTTGGTCATTGGGTTTTGAATCACATATATCACTCTGTGAACACCTCTTCATCTTATGATTCAGTCCTAATAATGAACTGTCATCTCATCAACAAATAAGGTCTTTACCACATGTCTCTGCTCCCACAGGCTGTAGCAAACATCATTAAGCCTCCAGTGGAGGACCCCAAAAGATTTCTCCAACAGCATATCCAGAGAGACTTGAATCAGCTGACAAAGTCCCTGGGCAAGAGTGCCGACGAGATCGCCAATGTGGTGCACCTGATCCTGCGCAGCCTCCTCAGAGAACAGGACGCCTGCTCTGACCAGTGTAAGGATGTGGGGCGAAGGGCTGTGCAGGCAGGGGATTGGCTTTACAGCTGCAGAGAGTCTCCAGAGAGATGGCGTGTGGAAGGAGACATAACCAGTGCCGAAGCAGGAGGAACCTCACGGCCTGAGGATGGAAGCTGTTCTGTTCTGTTCTGTCCCTGTGTGCCTAGCTGAGCCCTGCAGAGTTCAAACATCTTTACACAGTGTGGGGCGGGGGCACTTTTGAATTTCCAAAATCAGCCCTATAGGTAACTTACCTATTGTATTCGGAACACCAGGCATAGTAGTAGAATTCTCACAGAAGACCCAGGTTCGATGCCTGGCCAATACACCTCATACACAGTGCCACTCATCTGTCAGTTGAGGACTGTGTCGCTATGATGCTGAATAGGTTTCAGCAGAGCTTCTAGAACAAGAGGAACTAGGAAGGTCCTCTGAATCACACAGGTTCGATTCCATTGTGTGAGGGATCCCTATGAGTTGGGGCTGACTCACTGGCAGATGATGACGACACTGAGAACAGACATCATCCAAAACAGGTTGTCAAAGAATCATCTACAGTTAAGGAGACCATAGTTTGATAATCACTTGGGGACCTGTTGTTTTCATACATCTATCCTGTGTTTGGGGTACCTTTGATTTTCCCTAAATATATTGTAGATGTGCCCATGTGTTTATTACTACTGTTGTCACTAAGTCAGTGTTGACTCCTAGTGACCATGTTGAGGGTTTCCAGGCTATAAATAAATATGGGAGCAGAAAGCCTCCTCTTTCTCCACTGGTGGGCTGGTGAGTTCTAAGCACAGACCTTTTGATTAATAGTAATTAGTATTAATTACCCTATAGAGTCAGCACAGTCTTCCTCACATGTTTTTTGTGGAGTCTGTTCCGATTCATAGTGACCCTGTAGAGGGTTCCTGAGAAGCAGTTGGTGGGTTTGAACCACCAACCTTGTGGTTCGCAGCCCAGTGCTTATCATGAAGCTCCATCCTAGGCCCTCACATGTTTGTTGTTGTTGTTGTGTGCTGTGGAGTCACATGTGTCATCTGTAATTTTGTATAGGAAAAGAAAGAGCAGGCTACGAAGTAGTATGGTCACTCAGCTAGATTTTCTATTTAAAAATTTTAAACTCACACAGAGAGAAAATGTCTGTCAGAGAACTTAATAAAGGGTTGTCTTAGAAGTCCTCGTGGCGTGGTAATTAAGAACTCAGCTGCCTCTGAAAGCTTGGTAGCGTGAAGCCTGTGGTCAGCTCACGGGAGACAGATGGCAGTCTACTTGGATGACGATCGCAGCCTCAGAACCCATGTGATTGCGCCGCTCTGTCCAGGAGGCCCACTGGGACTCTAACCCATGTGATAGCGCCGCTCTGTCCAGGAGGCCCACTGGGACTCTAACCCATGTGATAGCACTGCTCTGTCCAGGAGGCCCATTGGGACTCTAACCCATGTGATAGCGCCGCTCTGTCCAGGAGGCCCACTGGGACTCTAACTAGTGGCACTGCGTTTGGCTTTTGGTTTTCTTAGTGGTGAAATTAAGAATGCTTTTCCTTTCTTTTTGCTGTCTGCAAATTCTTCTTTCAAAAGTGACACTGTGATGACAGTGCTATTTAATAATATCGTAATAGCAGTAAATGGGAGCATGGTGGCTCGTAGGAAAAGCACTAGACTGCAAACCACGGATTGGTGGTTGAAGCCCACCAGCTTCTCTGGAAGAGAAAGACGAGGCTTTCTCCTCTCACAGATTGAAAGCCTTGGTATGAACTGACAACATACAACACCAAGAATAGCAGTGAAGAGTTCTGCCACACGACAGCAAAAGCGATTCAGTCGCTGCTTTGGCAGAAACCAGCATCAGTACCTAGTCTCCATTTAGCAAAATCTGGTTTTATTTTCAGCCTCTCGTCCGGTGAGACTTGAAACTAAGAGAACTTGCCCAATGTCATGCTGACCGAGTGCCCGAGCCCTCGGAGTGGGCCGGCAGTGTTTGCGGCACCAGCTCAGCGGTGCAGCCATGCTGGCCTAACAGACACTGACCACCATCATGCCCTGCGCTGTACATTTTAATTCCAGTCCTTCCTGCCATTTGTTCAGAATGACTAAGATTACAGTGATGCGGGCTGCGGGAATTTTAGAGATTGAAATTGTTCACAAAAATCATTAGGTTGGTGGTACCAGCAGAAATCATGTCAAGATACTGAGGTTCATAAGGAAAGACCAGCCCACCGAAGGGGCATTGCTTCATTCTCACCCTTATCTCGTGTCCCCTCGTGTCGTTATCTTAGTAGGGCTTCTACATTTTGATGCAAAATTGTCAAGCAAAGTGATGAGAAACAACTGGGAAAAAACGGTCCAGATGATGATTCTCTCTGAACTGGAGGTGAGTGTTGATGCCACTTTGTGACTTTGCTGAAGGAAGGGGCTACTTTCCGGACACCCAAGAGCTCTCTTTGCCCAGAGTGCCTTTTGGAAGTGCTGTCCAAAGCCTTTGATTTGGGTGTTTTCTGCCTAGAGTCACTCCAAACTCCTGCTTTATCCAAGCCCTCTTCCTTCCTGAGGTGATAGGGAAGTCAGGGTAAGGAATTACTGCTGGAGTAATTCTCGCTCCATTCCTTTCGATGACAGAAAAGTGAGAGTCAGAGGGAGAGAAACAGACTGTCATGTAGATGTCTGTCACAAATGTATTGGTCTTCAGAGATGAATTGCTCTTTTGTTAGACAAGAATGCCACTGAAAGTTACTGGAGAGTAACTAAGTACCTCAGGAAATAGAAGTCAGTAATGAATGGGAATCAAATACAGGTTTCTGAGTCTCATTCTATTCAAGGAGACAGAAACCTACAAATGAGGGCCATTGGTCGTAAGATAAAAGGTAACAAAAGCGAATGTTTGATTAAGTGCTATATTGAGTACGCAGACTCCTCATTAGGCCAGTAAAGTCAGTTGTTGGCTTCGTGTGTTTATGGTAATGTCTCACGTCTGTAATTCTGTATTGTGTTCTTCACCTAGCATCTAGACCAAACTCTCCTGACTGTCAACACCCTCATCAGCCAAGATGAACGTATCAGCTCCAACCCTGTAGCCAAGATCATCTATGGTGACCCAGGGACCTTCCTGTGCCACCTGCCCCCGAAGAGTGTGGTCCATTGCTCTAAGATCTGGAGCTGTAGAAAACGAATCACAGTTGAGCACCTGCAGCACATAGTAGAGCAGAAAAACGGCAGAGAAACAGTGCCCATCCTCTGGCAGTTCCTACAGAAGGTAAGTTTAGCTCTTTGTGTGAGCCTGTGTTTCCATGCTGATTTCCCCTGGGGTCCTGAAGCCCCCCTGGCTCGTGTTTAGTGTCATTTCTAAAGACACAATATCTAACAGACCTCTTCAGGGCTTCAATGAAATAGACCATACACAGCAGATGACTGAAGGGTAGAGTAGAAATCCTCACACACATCAACTAGACAGAAAGCTTGAAGCACAGCATCACAAATGAACTTGAGATCAAGTTGGAATGAGTGATAACCTAGGATGTAAGGCAGTACAATCAATCCACTGCACAGCCCTGGGCAGTGTGTCTTTCTGCTTTACATGAGGTCGGAGCCAACTCAAGAGCGAGTGACAACAGCGTGAACTTGAGGACCAGACAACCCCCTTCCCAGTAACTCAGTAAAAAATGAGAGCATCAGAATCTCCCCTGACCCTCTAGTGTGTGCAAGGATGGTCACCTAGCAGTGCTGGTTGAATGTAAACAGCGGAGTCAAGAATGCCTAGACTGAGTCAGACAGACAGACAAACTCTCTTCCCTGTTCCTAACCCATGCAGGCGTAGGCTGAAGACAGCGTGAGTGTGTTTTGGCAGTGGCAGCGTTGGGGAGTAGTCAAATGTACCGGCACTCTGTGCTAGAACTAGAACTGGCACTAATCTAGTTGATCTTTTTGAATGATTTTTAAATAATTTCTCTCCATGGACCAGTATTTGCAGTCTAGCAAGAACTAAAATGATTCAGAAATTTCACCCAGTCAGGTAAAGCAACTGAATTCACATTAGGCAAGACTTCATATTAGTGTTGTGATTTCTCACCAACGCGCTCATTAATGTCGTGATATCTCACCAATTCGCTCATTAGTGTCGTGATATCTCACCAATTCACTCATTAGTGTCGTGATATCTCACCTACGCGCTCACTAGTGTTAGTGTCGTGATTTCTCACCAACGTGCTCACTAGTGTCGTGATATCTCACCAACGTGCTCATCAGTATTAGTGTCGTGATATCTCACCAATGTGCTCATTAGTGTTAGTGTCGTGATATCTCACCAATGTGCTCATTAGTGTTAGTGTCGTGATTTCTCACCAATGCGCTCACTAGTGTTAGTGTCGTGATATCTCACCAACGTGCTCATCAGTGTTAGTGTCGTGATTTCTCACCAATTCGCTCATTAGTGTTGTGATATCTCACCAATTCGCTCACTAGTATTAGTGTCGTGATTTCTCACCAATTCGCTCGTTAGTATTAGTGTCGTGATATCTCACCAATGTGCTCACTAGTGTTAGTGTTGTGATATCTCACCAATTCGCTCACTAGTATTAGTGTCGTGATATCTCACCAACGTGCTCACTAGTATTAGTGTCGTGATTTCTCACCAATTCGCTCATTAGTGTTAGTGTCGTGATATCTCACCAACGTGCTCACTAGTGTCGTGATATCTCACCAACGTGCTCATTAGTGTTAGTGTCGTGATTTCTCACCAATGTGCTCATCAGTGTTAGTGTCGTGATTTCTCACCAATTCGCTCATTAGTGTTAGTGTCGTGATATCTCACCAATTCGCTCACTAGTATTAGTGTCGTGATATCTCACCAACGCGCTCACTAGTATTAGTGTCGTGATATCTCACCAATGTGCTCATTAGTGTTAGTGTCGTGATTTCTCACCAATTCGCTCATTAGTGTTGTTGTTGTTGCTACTGCTGTCGAGTTGGTTCCGACCCATAGCGACCCTCTATAGGGTTTCCGAGGAGCACCTGGTGAGCTTGAACTGCCGACCTTATAGTTCAGAAGGCTTTGCAGTCTGGCGCATTAACCCACAGCGCCACACCAGGACTCGTTCTTGTTACGTGCCATCAAGTCAGTACCGACTCATAGTGACCTTATTTACAACAGAACAAAACACTACCCAATTCTGTGCCCACCTCACTTTCATTGCTATGAATGAGCCCATTGCTGCTGCCACTGTGCCAGTCCATCTCGTTGGGGGTCTTCCTCTTTTTCACGGACCCTCCACCTTACCTCCAGGGACTGGTCCCTCCTGACAACATGTCTAAAGTATGAGAGAGAGTCTGGCCATCTTGGCTTCTAAGGAGCATTCTGGCTGTACTTGTTCCAACACAAATTGGTTTGTTCTTTAGGCAGTCCGTGGTACTTTTAATAATCCCCTCCAACACCATTACTCAGGTGCATCAATTCTTCTTTGTTAATTATGCAACTTTCACATGCATATGAGGTTATTGAAAATACTGTGGTGGTTTAGGTAAGGCACACCTTAGTCCTCAAACCCAAAACAAAGATGTCATGAACACTTTAAAGAGGTGTTGTGCAGCAGATTTGTCTAATGCAGTACATTGATTGATTTCTTGACTGCTGCTTCCACAAATGTTGATGGGTGATTCAAGCAAAATGAAGTCATTGACAACTTCAATCTTTTCTCCATTTATCTTGATGTTATTTATTGGTCCAATGGTGGGGACTTTTATTTCCTTTACATTAAAGTGTAACTCATACTGAAAGCTGTGGTCTTTGATCTTCATTAATAAGTATTTTACGTCCTCTGCTTTCAGCAAGCAAGGTTGTATCATCTGCATATCAGAAGTAGTTAATGAGTCTTCTTCAAATCCTGATGCCACATTTTTCTGCATATCATCCAGAGTCTTTCATTATTTGCTCAGCATACAGATTAATTACATATGGTGAAAGAATAAGACTTGGGCACACACCTTCCCTAGTTTTAAACCACTCAGTGTACCATTGTTCTGTTAGAACACCTGCCTCTTGGTCTGTGTATAGGTTTCTCATGAGCACAATTAAGCATTCCAGAATACTCATTCTCAGCAATGTTGTCCATAGCTTGTCATGATCCACACAATTGAAAGCCTTTTATAGTCAATAAAGCACAGGTAAACATCTTTCTGATATTCTCTACGTTCAGCCAAGATCCATTAGACATTAGCAATGATGTCCCTCATTGCAACTGAACCTCTGGCAGTTCTCTGTCAGTGTACTGTTGCAGCTATTTTTAAATTATCTTTAGCATAATTTTACTTGCATGCAATATTGATGATATTTTCCAATGATTTCCGCATTCCATTGGATCACCTGTCTTTGGAATGGGCACATATGAATCTCTTCCAATCAGTTGGTCAAGTAGCTGTCTTCCAAATGTCTTGGCATAGATGAGTGAGTGCCTCCGGTGCTGCATCAGTTTGTTGAAAGATTTCCATTTGTCTTCCATCAATTCCCAGAGCCTTGTTCTTTGCTGATGCCTTCAGTGCACCTTGAACCTCTTCCTTCAGTATCATTGACTCTTGACCATATGCTACCTGTTGAAATGACTCAATACCGACCATTTCTTTTTGATACAGTGACTCTGTGTCTTTCTTTCATCATCTTTCTATGCTTTCTGCATCGTTCAGTATTTTGCTTGTTGTTAAATGCCATCAAGTCAGTTCTGACTCATAGTGACCCTGTATAGGGTTTCCAGGGAGTGGCTAGTGAGCTTGAACTGCCAACCTTGCAGTTCAAACTGACTTTATGGCCGAGTACATTAACCCACAGTTCCACACCAAGACTCCATTTTGCCTGGAGAATCCTTCCATTTTGCAAGTCAGGCCTTGAATTTTTTTTCAGTTTCCTCTGATTGAAAAATGTTGAGCATGTTCTTCCCTTTACGTTTTGTTAATTCCAGGTCTCTGCCTATTTCATTAGAATATTTGACTTTGTCTTCTCGAGCTGCCTTTTGAAATGACCTGTTCAGCTCTTGTACCTCTTCACTTCTTCCATTTACTTCAGCATCTCTATGCTGGAGAGGAAGTTTCATAGTCTCTCCATTTTGTGGTCTTTTCCTTCTTTCTGGTTTTGTTAATGACTTTTTTGCTTTCTTCCTGTATGGTGTCTAGATGTCATCCCACAGCTCTTCTGGTCTTTGATCTTTAGTGTCTAATTCATCAAATCTGTTCTTGAGATGATCTCTAGATTCAAGTGGGATATGTTCAAGGTCATACTTTGGCTCTTGTGGACTTGTTTTAATTTTCTTCAGCTTGAACTTGCATGTGAGTGATTGATGGTCTGTTCCACAGTCTCCCCCTAACCTTGTTTTGACTGATGATACTGAGCTTCTCCTCCGTCTCATCGCAAAGATGTAGTGAATCTGATTTCTGTGTATTCCACCTGGTGAAGTCAATATGTATAATCGTCTTTTATGTTGTTTAAAATTTTTGCAATGAAGAAATCATTGGTCTTGCAAAATTCTATCATGCAATCTTCAGCATCATTTCTGTCACCAAGGCCATGTTTTCCAACTACTGATCCTTCCTCTTTGTTTCCAACCTTTGCAGTTCAATCGCCAATAATTATTCGATGCATCTTGAGTGCGTGGTTGATCAATTTCAGACTGAAGAAGTTGGTAGAATTCTTCAGTTTCATCATCACTGGCTTTAGTGGTTGGTGCATACATTTAAATAGTAGTTGTATTAGCTGGTCTTCCTTGTAGGTGGATGAATAGTATCCTTTCACAGACAGCATTTTCCTTTTCGGTCTTGAGATGCTCTTTTTGATGATGAATGTGACGCCATTCCCCTTCAATTTGTCGTTTCTGGCATAATAAACCATGTGACTATCAGATTTTAAAATGGCCAATACCAGTCCATTTGAGCTAGGTTTAATCAGTGTTTATACATTCCATGTTACAAGTATTAATGGATATTTACAGCTGTTTCTCCTCAATTTGAGTTGTGCCTCATCAGTAAATGAAGGTCCTGAAAGTTCTACTTCATTTGTGTCATCACGGTCAACTCTACTTGGAGGAGGCAGCTCTTCCCCTGTCGTATTTTGAGTGCCTTCCAATTTGAGGGGTCATCTTCCAGCACTACACCTGACAATATTCTGGTGCTCTTCATCATGTTTCAATATTTAATATTCTGGTGCTATGTGACAGTGTTCTACAGCTAGTCATTCATAAGGTTTTTCAGTGGCTAAACATTCAGAAGTAGTCTGTCTCTATTTCTTCCTAGTCTGTCTTCCTCTGGAAGTTCAGCCGAAACCTGTCCACCATGGGTGACCCTGATATTTAAAACACTGGTGGCATAGCTTCCAGAATCACAGCAAATGCAAACCGCCACACTACGACAAAGTGACAGACAGACAAGTGGTGGCACTACTGTGCAGTTTCATTAACTGAAGATCATAGGTCTTTAAGACAGCATCCAGAAAGAATGCCAGCCACCACTGCATAGACCTTTGACCCTTTGCTTTCAGCAGTTTCTCTCCATACCTAACTCAGTCTGCAGTCCACAAGCACATGGAGGAGCGAGCTTCACGAGGTCAGGCACTCAGCTCTGCTCCTACACTTTGCAAGCAGTCAGTAGACATTTCCTAGAGAAGTAAAAAAATTTCCCCTGTTTTCAAGCTCTGTGATGTATCATCCTATCAAAAGGCACTGGGACCAGAGTATATTGCCAAGAAAAGTCAAGTCAGCCCCCAAAGATGTTTCCGCAGTATCATTTTCTAGGTGCACACATTGTCACTGGGTCACATTCCCTTCCCCAGGAAGCAGAGCTGAGGCTGGTGAGATTCTTGCCGGAGATCCTGAACCTGCAAAGGAACCTAGTGAAGCGATTCCAGAATGTTCCCGAAGTTGAATTCGAATCCCTCAGGAGTTTTATTGACAGTCACAATTCAGGTATGACTCGGCTCTGATAAGAGATCAGGATGCTCCGTTGTTGTGTGGCTGAAGAGGACCCTCCAAGCAGGATGGGTAGCCAGGGCGCTCTGCATCCTCGGCTTTCAGCAAGAGGCGGAGGGTGTGTGTGTGGGGGGGGGGGTTCCAGGAGGCCCCCAAACACAGTATTGATTATCCCGCAGCTGCACAGTACTTCAGTCACTCAAGCTCAACTTTTGTGTTAAAATCGCATTTACAATGTGGGGCAATTCCATGAAGGTGAAAAGCTGTTTCTTTCCAAGGACATGTCATTACCGATGTGACCTAGATGGGAGTGGTTTCTGAAATGTGGTTTTTCTCACTCAGATGGGTTGAAGCAGGTGTTTCACAACAGAATCACTATCTTTCTGTCAACGTGGAACAAGCTGAGGAGATCACTTGAGACCAATGGTAAGTGTCGTCAGTCCCCTTTAAAGCCATAACGTGACAGAGTGCTCTGAACATGCTCTCCTTGGCCTATCCCTGGTGGAAGGCTCCATGCTCTATGAGTCTGTTGATGGAGATGTCTGAGATAACTGAAGTAACCTGTCATCTCCACTCACACACAAGCTGGGAACCTGTCAGCATATAAGAGAAATGGGAGGCAGCCCCACTGGGTTTGGTAGCGGTGACAGACATAGTCCTCTCTTACTTGCTGGAACAGGCTCCCTCACCTTGACGTGAAAGCCTCTGTGTGGAGCTGAATGCATGTCTGTTGAAGAATGACCTGTTGTTTCAAGGTGAAATCAAGCTTCCGAAGGACTACTGCAGCACTGACTTGGATCTGGACACTGGCTTTGAGGTCATCCTGCCACGTCGCCGGGGACGGGGCCTCTGCTCCACTGCCTTAGTCAGCTACTTGATTAAGCTCCACAATGAAATGGTCTACACTGTGGAAAAGTTCTCAAAGGAAAGTGACAGGTGAGTACACAAGCCAATAGGAAGCCCGGCCCAGAAAGTCATTTCTATGGTCCCTAGGATCACTAGGGCAGACACAGCCAAGCTTAAGCCCCACAGCTATGCCCCTTAGGGTCCCCAGACTCACGTATCAAGAGCATGAACTAGCACCTGACTTGGGGTCACCTAGAGGCCTAAGGCAAGTTTGCAATGTTCTGGACCCAGGGCTGTGTCTTTATGTCCCTCAGCTACTCCATCGATGCCTCTGAGGTCACCGACCTGCATGTCATCAGCTACGAAACCGAGCGGGACTTGATGCCCCTGATTCTCTCCAACTGCCAGTACAGAGTTGAGCAAGGTGGCGAAGCCCTGCAGGAGTTCGACCTGGAGAAGATCCAGAGGCAGATCACCAGCCGATTCCTCCAGGGCAAGCCCAGACTGACCCTCAAGGTACAGCTGCCCATCGTGTGTCTTCCATCACAGCAGTTTCTTCTTTTTTCCTATTGAAAAACCTTTGATTATGAATTGGGTGAAGGTTTACAGAGAGGATTGGTTTTCCATTCCACAGTTCCTAGATTTTGTTTCACGTCATTGATTGTAGGCCACACAATAGGACATCACTTATCGCGCTTTGTCCCAGCATTGCTGATTTCCGTCCCTTCTGAACTTCGTCCTTTGGTAAATGCTGCCCTTTTGAATCAAATACATTTTAAGGAGTGTACACCTCTCTAGCGTTATTGTGCCCTTTCAGACTGGCCTCTTGTTTGCTGAATGTTAAGTAGCAGGGGTGAATTCTATGAATGCAGACCTGAAGGATGACCAAGTGCCATAGTCTTCAGAGTCCCACCAGTCTCAATCTGACCAGTAAGCCTGGTCTGTTTTGTAAAATTTTGTGGTTGGTTCTACAATTCTTCTCATACTATTCCAGACCTTCCAATGTGACCCCTTTAAGAGCAGTTACCCTTTAAGAAGTGGTAGCTGGGGGCTGTCTAGTTCTTCTGGTCTCAGGGGCATGGAGGCTGACGTTTACTGTGTCCACTGGACTAATTGTGTCCACTGGACTAATTGTGTCCATTTACTGTCGCTTCTATCGCAGCATTTTCCAAGTGAGACCAGCGTGAGGTTTGTTGCCCAGAGTGATTTTCCAGGTCATCTCCTTCACACCCACAGGTCCATGACCACTACTCTCACGTGGTTCACTGCGCTGGATGGCTTGCCAGAGCTTTCTTCTGCATCAGTACCTGTACCTCATTTCCCCAGATACGTCTCAAATCATACTGGATTCATCATCTAGGTCTTCCTACCCCAGCGAATGGCTGTACCAACTAACCAAGACTAAGCTCACAGCCATCTTTAGCCTCCACACAGCCAGCCATTGGGTCCTGGCGGGTATCTTCTGTGTCCCTCCCGAATCACTACAACCAGTGCTGTAGTTCACCCCTCTGCCCTGCAGTGTGTCCCCTGCATACAGGATGATGGCATCCATGACCTGAGCCTGGCTTCATGAAAGACTGATAGCCTTGGCCCAGCCCGTCCAGCCCACCTCTCGGTGCTGCCCTACCCCCCAAGGAAGCCCTCGATGTGATGTGTACCCCTCCACTGACACACACTATCCCTTTCTTGTCTGTTCTTTGCCCTGGACTGTGCTTGTGCCTTCAAGAGCCACACAGTTCTGTTTTATGTGGGTGTTGTCTCTCCCGATGCCTGAAATTGTTGGAGCCCAAGGCTGGCTTCATGCATTCTGATCACCTGTCCTCTAGCTGAGTGGCTGCTTTGCGGACGGTGTGGACTCAGTAGTAGTTGAGAGCGTGAGTGAATGAGCTAGCCTCCATACCATTCTCCTTGAAAGTCCTGTGTCCTTGGGCTAGTTTTCTACCTGCCAGTATCTGCCTGGTTTATGCTGGCAGGCTAGGTTTCTTGTAGTGTTGTTTTCATGGAATGTAGGGTAGGCGACATAGGGTAATACTCTGACTAGTACGGACTACTATGGCGCTACAAATGAGTTCTGTTTGTCATCCAGGAAAATCTCCAGCATGGATTTACTTTACTAAATAAAGTTTCTTTTTCACTTCAGGGAATACCCACCCTGGTATACAGACATGACTGGAACTATGAACATCTCTTCATGGACATCAGGAACAAGATGCCACAGGTGAGCAGAATGAATGGGTATGGCGCTTTTTGTCTAGAAGAGTGCCTTTCCCCATAATAAAGCCATTCTGACCTCAGCCCAGGCACGTGATGGGAGTCCCAAAGAATTGCAGTGACTGCCTTATTAGCCCTGGCCCAGTGGTCTTTGCAAACATTTTCTTGTTGAATATGACTGGATTTTAGTCTAGTGGCGTTAGTTTCTTAGTCATGAGTTAGTTTAAGAACCAGAAAACTTACTACTATTCATATCTTCTTGCTCACCCTCTGTTTAGCTAAACACACACACACACACACACACAGCCATTATTGTTGTTGTTAAGTGCCAACTCATAGCAACCTTGTATAGGGTTTCCAAAAAGCAACTGGTGAGCTTGAACCACTAACTTTGCAGTTCAAACGGCTTTGCAGTCTGGTGCACTAACCCCACAGCACCACACAAGGCCATTATGAGGATTAAATGGGTTCATATCTAATTCTCCAGATATCTGGACTATGAGATCACTCCGTAACCGAAAAATAATAACTGTTATTATGTGTTGGGGCTTTTGTCTCATCTTCTGGACTGGGGCAGTGAAGTCTGGAAGCTCTTTTACCAGGTAGCAATAAACCAGAACCCCAACCCACGGGCCTGTCCTGCTTTTGTTCCCCTAGTGCACTCTCCCCCACTCAGCCCTCAGCACCCTCAGTGGACAGCTGCAGTCCTTCAGCGACGCCTGTGAAGCTCTGTCTATCATAGAAGTCACCTTGGGCTTTCTGAGCACAGCTGGTGGTGACCCAGATGTACCCTTGAATGTGTATATTCACGACACCCTGCGAATGGGTGATCAGACAAGTCCTGTTTTCAAGGTGGGTCTTGCATGAAAAGGTTTTCACCAGAGGGATTCAGTACCCCCACATCTTTCTAGGAATCCTGCCATTCAGGCTAGACACCCTAAGAAGGAGAGGGACAAGGACAGCCCCTGGTCCTGTCAGTCCCCAGGTAGACAGGATGCACCCTGCATGGCCCAGGTAGGGATGTGCTGGGAATGCTAGCAGACAGGACAGTGCTCCCAGATGGGACTGGGGACACTAGCCCATGCTTGAGGACTCAGAGGCTGCAGCAGGGGAGAGCTTTTTAGAGGCGATTGCACTGAGGCCGGTGAATGGAGTCAGCATGGCGCCAGGAGGGAAGAGGCATGGGTACAGCAGAATGGGGATTAGAAGGTAGCATGTGGAAGAGCAGCCAGGCCTGTGGCCCACGGGGATGAGCCCTTCTGCTTCTCAGGGTTCTGCTCCTCTTTCAGGCCTTAAAAAGATGTCAGCTAAAGCACGTCATTGCCCTGTGGCGGTTCCTCTCTGCGCATAAGTGCGAGCAGCTTCTGCGACTGGGAAAAGTAAGTCCCCTCTCTCCCTCCACTGGGACAGCATGCGGTGGCTCTCCTCCCCAGCTTCTGCTCCTACATCTCCATATTTCCTTCTAGGATCCATTTAGGGAAATCAGTTCCAAGTACAAAGTGGATCTCAGCCCCAAAGATGCACAACTCCTCAACACCTTCCTTCATCAGACTGACCTAGATGCCTTCTTGCTGGAGCTTCATGAAATGATGATCCTCAAACTAAAGAGCCCCCAGGAGGAGAGTTTCTTCCCTGTGTGGAGGTGAGGCCTTGAGACCCTGTGGTCTTCCATAGACGTGAGAAGTTCTCCATTTACTGCACGACACGCCTTCTGGGGCTTTAATCTCTATTGGGTTGGATGTTTTTAATAATTACAAGAGTCTGTATTCTTATTCTATGTGAGAAAGATAAGCTTTCTGCTTAAAAGCCTAGGAAACCCTATACATGGTTGCCGTGACTCAGAACCAACTAACAGCATGTACGAAAACAACATCAACAATCTTTTCAGTATAACGAGCAGACTTATGATGTCAGACAGAGTTGCAAATGAAATTTTATAGGAAACAGTATATGTACCAGTGTAGAAACCATCGGAGAATGTGCAGTACCTGATATTATCCATCTTTTGCATTTTTGTCTGATGTTTTCGCTTGTATTCTCTGATTTACTAGTGAGGTTAAGCATATTTTTACATTTGTTAGTCAATTTCCTATCTTCTTCTGAATTACTTCTTTGATAACCTTTGGTTATTTTTTCTTTGGGCTGTTTGTCTTTTTCTTAATGATTTGCATGAGCTCTTTATATAGCTAAGAGATTTCTCTTTTATCAATCATGCATTACAAATGTTAGTCAAATCTGACAGAATTTCCCTATAAAAACTCCATGGGAAGATATACTTGTAAGGGCCTACCTTGTTCCAAGGTTATAAAATATCCTCCCATACCTTTTTTTTAACCTTCTATAGTACACATGTTTTGTTAATCAGTTTATTTTTGTCTGTGCTGTGAAGTAACGATTTACTTCTACTGTACTTTTTCTAAATAGATACCCAATGTCATTTTTCTCACCAATCCATTTCATATGTGCTGTTTTCTCCATTATGCTATGTGTATGTGTGTGTGTATGTGTGTGTATGTATGTGTGTATATGTGTGTGTATGTGTTATGTGTATGTATGTGTGTATGTGTGTGTATATGTGTGTGTATGTGCGTATGTATGTGTGTGTATGTGTGTGTATGTGCGTGTATGTGTATGTGTGTGTGTATGTGTGTGTCTGTGTGTATGTGTATGTGTGTATGTGTATGTATGTGTGTATATGTATGTGCGTGTATGTGTGTATGTGTGTGTATGTGCGTATGTGTGTGTATGTGTTTGTATGTGCGTGTATGTGTATGTGTGTATGTGCGTGTATGTGTATGTGTGTATGTGTATGTGTGTGTATGTGTGTGTATGTATGTGTGTGTATGTGTGTGTGTGTGTGTGTATATATATCCCTATGAACGCTTACATTCTTTGAGTGGAGAGAACCTTTCTTTCGTAGAGGATTTATGGTTGGTTTTGACATGAAACATGACATGGAACAGAAGCTTTCCCCTGCAATTGTGAGGCTTTGGTCTCTTAAATCTAACACTTGATAATCCCACGTGTGTCATAGGACTGTACTCCATAGTGTTTTCAATGGTTGGTTTTTTGGTAAAAGATCTTTTTCTATTTTGTTGACTTCTCTTCTATCGGCTGTTATTCCAAGGTGCTGCTTGGTGCACCGCCAAACTCTGGGTTAGCAGCTGAGCATGCTAACTGTTTGCTCCACCCAGGAATTCTTGTTTTAATATACAGTTTATCCACACCAACACCATGGAGCTCTGGAGTGTCTGTGTACTGCACCGTGGGAAGTAGCTGCTAAGTGCAAGGAGCCTTGAACCCAGGAGCTAGGTCCAGCTCAGTAATTCAATGGTTGAGAGTCCTTAACCTGACCCTTAGTGAACACTTGGTTCTGTTGATGACCAGAACAAGTGGCAACTGACTGGCTTTCTTATGTTACTTGGGAACCTATGTTAACTGCTATGCTGTCTCTTGTTCTTTGCTTTTCAGCCTGAGAGACACTCTGGTAAGTTACATGGAAACTAAAGAGAGTGACGTTCTTCTGGAAATGGAATCCCAGTTCCCAGAAGACATCCTGCTCTCCAACTGCATTTGTGTGTGGACCAAGGCGGCTGAGCTGAAGCAGGCCCGACACAGGAGATAGAAGCAGCTTCGTCAGCACTGCCTTTGGATGAGACCTGGTGTGAGAAGACCCTTCTCCCTCTTCACACGGACTGGATTCCATCCAGGACTGTCAGACTGCCCCTCCGAGTGCTTATTCACAACTACCTTCAAGGCCAAGAGGTGCTGTGTGAGCTTCCAGCTTTTTGTGACGGAACTGTTTCAAGAATGGGTATATTCCAAAGCTTTCTCATCGTGTTACAAATAGTATTCTTGGGGAGGTGAGGAGTGATGATTTACCTGACTTGGGAAATAAACCACTGGGCTTTACATTCCAGGGAAGAGAACAAAGTAGCATCTCACCTTTAAACACTAATACCCAGCAAGCGACCGAGTTAGCACAGACCCAGCCGCTAGGTTCCTCCCTCCTGAGACTACTACATAGTCAGAGGGAGGGGAAAACTGACGGGTTAAATTTTCTGATTACTCAGAACTCACAGAAGAAAATGTTGGACCCACATTTCTGGGGTTTGAAGATGATGTGACTAAGTGTGCCAGACTCATTTCTGTCGTCTCCAAATATAAGAGAAATTAAGAGTGTTTTCTGAGTGCCTTAAACCAAACCACTAAAACCTGACCCAGGCCCCACAAGGAATCACTGCCAAATTTCAAGGATAAGAGCCAAGTTCCTTTTACATGAAGAGCACTGTACTAGGAGTCCGGGCCACATTCTAGGCCCCAGTTTCCTCATCTGTAAAATGAGGGACTGGACTGATGGCAGATAGCCACCCAGTTTTCATCTTTGGAAATTCTAAATGAAAGGTTATTGATGTAACTTAGATCAAAGATGTAGTTCTGGCATTTTTGTGGGGAATTTTGCATCTTCTAGCACTGTGCCATATAAACATGTAGATTGAATGTAATCTAGATTTCCCTGAGTACATGCATATCTGGTCCTTTGGTTCAGTCTCAGCCAAGGAATACCAACTGAGTCTCCAAGAGGGTACAAAGCCAGGTAGGGAGGGCCTCATCAGCTCGCCCTGACTGTGTGCTGTTCCCCTCATGTGAAGGGTCTCTTTTTTTTTTCCTACATCTACTCTGATACTTAAGACTGCTCTGGAGCGGCTCCTCCTCCTAGGTAACTCACACCCATTTGCACTGACATTAAGGCAGTAACTGTTTACAAGCTTGTGGCAAATGCCCTGACTATACCTCCTGAAAGAGCTACTGAATCCGCCCGACATTGGGCCCATGGCATGAGCGCTCCGCCACCACAGACTCCTGGTGGAGAATGCCCTCCCGGAGCCCTAGTGTACCACTAGAGGAAGCTGAAGAAGGGACTGTACTGTTTGCATTATTTTCAGATTCTCTTCACGGTCCTGGATGAAGAGCACACAGTGGTTGTAATTCGATACACTGTGCGCTTGCATAAAGTATTCCATGGATGTTTCTCTTTTGAGGCAATGCAGAGACCACACTGCCCACAGACACACGCATCCTGGATTGTGCAGTCTGTGGGAGGGAAAGTTTAATTCTTCTATTTGCACTTGTGTCCTGGTGGGCCGCTGTGGGTTAATGCGCTGGACGCAAAGTCAGTTTAAACTGCAAGGTCGGTGGTTCAAGGTCACCAGCTGCTCCTTGGAAAACCTATACAGGGTCGCTGTGGGTCAGAACCAACTCGACGGCACTTAGCAACAACAAATACTTGTACTTGGGACTCCTCTGATATCTCCAAATGGGGACCAAACCATCAGGTGGCAGCTTACACCCTGGTGGCTTCAGACTGCTGCTCTGGTGCAGTTTCTCACTGTGACACACCTTAGCAGGCAGGAGCTAGGTGGCAATCTGTGCTGTGAAGACTTTTCTTGGGGGTGGGGGGTTAGGTTTGGGAATTTCCCCACACTTCTATGAAGGATTTAAAATTTTGCATATCTTGTTTTGTATGCTTTCAAAGCCTTAAGTGTCAATATCTAGCATTTTCATGTTTATATAAAAATACACTGGCCTTAATCACATGCAAATGTAAATGTTATAATTGTCTTCCTGTTTTAATAAAACTCAGGTTTGCTGTTAGAGAATCCTTATCTTTGAGGGTGGGGGGGTACTAAGCTTTTATTTTGATACATACATACCAACTAGGCTTTTAGGGACAGTTTCATTTTCTAAGGAAATACCCATCAAGGCAGAGGACAAGGCTGAATAGCTGTATTCAGAATGTGACGTGGTGAACTTTTCCTCTGGAGTTCTGAGTAGAGCTTCGCACCTCTTCCCTGCAGCCAGCCTCAGATGGGGAGCAGCTTTCGTCCTGCCTGAAGTGATTTCTCTGGGAATGGCAGAGCTCTAAGAATCAGTGGGACAAGGGAAACAGTTCCTCAGAGAAAGCAAATACACCTATGTGAGCGATAACCTGCAAGCAGCCCAAGTAGGTTAAGAAGTACCCACCACTAGGGACAACTGCATTTTGCTCTTCTCAAAAGGTCAAGTTCCTGCAGAGGCCAGTCTATAGTGCAGATATTCAAGGTAGGCCTCCAGGCGGGGACCAGACTCTTCTCCCACTGCTTGTAGTCCATGCCTCCAGCTCTGGTCATGGAGGCCTCAGGTCAATCCCAACCTGCTCCCAACTTGCCCTGCTCAGTCTGCACTGACATTAAGGCAGTAACTGTTTACAAGCTTGTGGCAAATGCCCTGTCTGCACCCCATTCATATTCCCATGTCTGGATAGCTCCCAGGAG